ATATGTGGGGGGGGGGGGGGGGTATCATTTAGTGAGCTCATTGCTCACAGTACCTCTAGTTTTTTAGCAGTTTTTATTCATTTCTTTCCCAGTATTATGAAACCTAGCTAAAACATTTAAATTCTAAAACATAATCTTATCTGAGGTTGATTGAATATCTTAATAAAAAAATAATTTTCCTCTCTTTCTCTCTATGTTTTGTTTGGCTATATTTATAAGTTCTTGTTTCCTGTTGCAAAGAAAAAAGGAGAAGGAGACATGGAGTCACTGATATAAATTTATATCTAATATTGTATAAAGTTCTAACAATATAAACCCATCAAATCCCACCAAAATTTAATTAAGTTTTCATAGTCTTAAAAAAATTGGATATTCTTTCCACTTTTTTTTTTGTGTTATTAATAACTTAAATTTAATTCTTATGTTTGTAAACTATCATTATTGATGGACATATAATTATGTACAATACTGATATGCGTATCACATGAACATCGCTCGCTCTTGTTTTTGTTTTTTTTTTTAACATGTTCTGGCTTAAGGAAGAATGCCACACCATTTTATATGAATATATTTTTTTGTAAAACTTAATTGTAATAAAATGTTACTTACATATGCCATAGGTGCTTGATGTTTTAAACTTATTAATTTTTATACAAATATTCCAGTTACTTTGTATAATACATAGTGGATTTTTTATTTATGAAAAATAGGCTTAAAACATAAAGTGCCAGTGTTACATGCTGTAGTAAGGAAGGGGGTCACATACTTTATAAATTTAACAAATGAATCAATATATTTTTTTCTATTTTCTTATTCAAAACCTTTATTCCAAGGGGGGGGGATTGTGAAAAATATGTACATGCAATGTAGACCAAAAACTGGTTCAAAGTAATTGTGAACCCTATCTCCTCCAAACAAGTTTACCTCATTGCAAATTGAAAGACCCCTTCTACTTTTCACACCTTTCCTGGACATGACAAAAGAACTGTATATTTCTTGTATATTCTATGCGAATTGGAAGGTTTTACAGTTTGACACCTGGCCAGGAGAACAATAAACATGCGACTTCATAGGTATGTATATACCAGGTGGATTATCACCTGATCTTCCTCAGATTCTACCTTAGATCTGATTTATACAGTACACATACAACAGCATTTCAGTTGACCCCCACCCCTCCACAACATATTTCATTAATTTTCTTTTTTGCACAACTGCCTCTATATGTCATCATTTGCTTTAAATATAAAATTAGCTCATATCCTAAAGTAATCCCCAAAAAGTAGATGAACTTTATTTATAAAAGTAATCTTACTTGTTAACTTTAATTTTTTCTTTTTAATTAAATTAATATTTATTGTCAAAATTTCTGTTTACCAAAAATTATGCAGTATTTATTATGATCACATGATATACATGTAATCATGATCTAAGACTATACTTGTATAAAAATAACAAATCAGAGGCGGCAGCTAGGCCAGAGGCATATGCTTTTAATTTTAAATTCAAAATACTTGTACATTTCTCTTCTTTCCTTCTATTTTCTACTTAATAATCATATTCTCTTCTTTTTATGATACCTATGTAAATTGGCAGAAGAATAAAATGCATGCCATATATAAAAACTAACACCTAAGTTCACCTGCTCATTACATATAGCTGCAAGACTGCAGCTCTAATAAGAAAAATTGGGATGGAAAACCTAGAGCTACAGTGCCATCTATTGAAAAAAAAACTTTTACAAGTCTGTTATTTCTCTATTTCTTTCTCTGTTTACATGCATTTAAACTAGCTGCCACCTAAAAATTTCACTGGCTTTTCCTAGCATACTTGATTTTGCAACTTTATAATTCCACTGCAAAACATTTCCCAAACCCAATGTTTACATACCTTCTGAGCCTTAAATTTAGATTATCAAAATTTTCACAGATTTATATGCATGTTTTACCAGAGTTCATGTATATACTGCCATATTTTAGAGCTACATTGAAAGAACATATAAATGTCCTATGCCGAACCTGATCTAGAATTTAGTTTAATTTAAGAAAAAAAAGAAAAGAAAAATAATTTCCTCTAATCCAAAGTACTCGATCAATTCAGGAGACTTAAAAAAAAATCAGGTCGGTGGATCCGTAAACCAAGAAATAAAAAAAATGTCACCTTATATATGATCAATCAGAAATTTTGAATCAAGTCAAAAAGTTTTACCAAGATTTATATTCTAATACAGATTATAAACTGATTGATATTGATTTAGAAGAAATTATTAACTCAACTGAAATTCAAAAATTAGATAAAATCACTTCCTTGATTAAGAAAAAGATATTGAAGAAAATGAAGTTTTACAAGTTTTAAAAAATATGAAGAATGATAAATCTCCTGGAAGTGATATGGTAAAGCTTAATTTACAACTGAATTTTTTTTAATTTTTCTGGAGTGATCTTTAAGTCTACATACATTATGCGAGCTAATTTGTATATTGTCAAAAAAAAAAAGAAATTCCTATTTCACAAAGACTAGGGATAATTTCATGTATACCCAATGGGAATAAACCCAGACAATTTTTGAACAATTGGAGACCATAACTCTACTAAATTACAGAATAAAATATACTCTGGATCTTTTGATTTCAGACACTCACACTGAATTCCTAAAAGGAAGATATTTGGGTGAAAACACCAGATTTATTTATGATTTAATGGCATACACAGAAGCTAAAAATATACAAGGATTGTTGGTTTTAATCGATTTTGAAAAAGCTTTTGATTCAATTTCATTGTTCATGGTCTTTTATTTATAAAGTATTGAACTATGTTAATTTAGGAAATAATATAATAAATTAATTGGATAAAAATTCTTAATACAAATTTTAAAGCATCTGAGTTTTGCAATGCAGATTTTTATCAGATAAGTGACATATATTATATTCATGGTGATGGGAGGGGCTTAAATAAAAAAAAATCTCTGTGCTGGTAAAAATCTCAAATCTACCAGCCCATATGATACTTGATAGCAGGGACCTAGCTACCCATGGTATATACTTTTGTTAAAAAAAGGTATTAAATGATCTGTTCAAAGTACTAGTACTATTTACAAATATATTAATAAAGTTTAGCTAAACTTGTTTAGAAATTACTAGTATATAACTTTAATTTACTAATCAAAATTGAATTGGATAAGATAAATACAGTGTATATGGTAATTTAAATTAGTCTGGCCTGAAATGGAAGTAAATGATCACCCAATCCTACATAATCACAATGATTTGATCAGTTTGTGTATAGTACACACCATCAGGTACTGTTAGTAGAGTTTGTGTTTGTCAGACAGAGTGGGGGTACAGGTAAATCATTTGCGATAGGTATACAGTATCAGGTGTGTCATGCAATGCTCAAGTCTGGAATATAATTATCAGTGTAGCTAATTATAACTTCAAGAATCAGGACTATTATAATCATAATTAAAGGTAAGAAGCTGACTTATACCCTCTTAAATACTTACATGAGTGTGGTTGTTTTTTGTAATGTAGACCTTTGAAGCCATTAGGTCATGATCATGCTAATATGAATCAAACACTTTAAGTTATGAAAATGTCAATTGTTGTGATTTTGTAGGCATATAGTTTCCTCCGTACCCTGTTTAAATTCTAAAATCAAATAGTTTTAGGATAAAAGTAGAAAAGGTGTTATTACTGTTAATTATGTTAATAAGTAACCACTGTACCCATTGTAACCCGGCTACATTGACAGTCCTTCAGAAATTTTCTACTTTCATTTTCCAATGATTTTGTACTGTACCCTAATTGTAACCTTATTGGTAAAGGATAAATAGAAGTGTACCCTAGGGTACAAAAGTATCACCTAAAAACACAGTACCAATTTCTTGCCATATATGGGTTGGGACTTGGGAGGGTCGGATTAGAAAAAAAAAAATATCTTAAACACCCAATTTTATGTTAACGCCCCCAAAATCCCCCCGATTCAAGATCAATAATTTACCGCCTGTCAATCATTAAAAAAAAACAATAGCTTCTGATTTGATTGACAGATCAGCTACCTGTGCTACCTGATAATCTGAGTTTGCATGTTTTGAAGACAATTGCCTTGTCACACGCCAAACTCTTTCATGTACCCGCCTTGTATACACGTGGGTTAGAGAACTCCAATATGTTTCAATTTTATTTCAAAAAATAATTAAAAGTAGATTATTAAAACATTAACTTCATAAAATATTTCTTTTCTATCTTCACTGCCGTTTGTTTCTTGAAAGTGTTATATCGTCCACGATACCTGTAGAAAAAAGACCGTCCACAGAAACCGGTTGCCATAATTGGACGTCCGACGATTAAAATTATTTTTTAAGAAATGGGATGGACCTATAAGAAATATTCAGCACTAATAGTTTGTACAATGGCTACAATCTGCACTTTTTATTTCAATATTCAGACGTTTTTAATCATGGTGATTTCTTTTATTGAAAATTAAAAACAAATAAATATTTTTGCTTTGTATTTTTTCTTCAATTTAACAAACACCTTTTGTAAAACGATATAACTTTGTATTTTTTTCCTTCAAAACATTACCATGAATATATATAGTTTGTAATTAAATTTCTTATTAAAATAATTATTTTGCGTAGTTTCACTCAAAACACGTAATGTTGACCCTGATTACCAAACACAGACTTCCTGTGTACTGCTACGTGTACAGAGATTTTTGACTTCTTGGGTATTGGGGGTCTCCAGGTAAATAACGCCACTGTTACTTCGACCACTCCCTCTCTTCAGGTAACCGTACGGTAAAAAAATTGGGTCTTTAAACTGATATTCATCAGTTTGGGAATACATGTAATTTACCACTTTTTCTCCAGAATCACCAGTCTAATTCCAACCAAAAATGCCACAAAGCTTAAATTCCAAGATCCATGGGTACATTTTAGGGATTTAAGTATCAGAAGTGTGCTGTGTTTACAACATTGATCTGAGATGATTTCCTTTGTTTACAGCTTTAACTCGAGACCTGATATGCGGTGGGGAGAGTCAGGAGGATGGCAGCTGGTGTGATCTCGTGGACAAAGCTCTACAGCTAGCAGAGAAAATTCTACCGGAAATACAACAGCATCCTGATAAAAGTGTCATGGAACAGGTCTCATATTATTTCTGCTCTGAAGGAGAAAGGGGTATACTGTTTGACCCATGTGTATCAGTCTGTGTGTCTGTGTAGCTGTGTTTCCGTTTGAACCAAAAAATTTTGCCACATTTTTCCCAGCAACTACTCATTGCAGATGTTTGAAATTTTAGAACAATTTTTTTGTTCATAAGCATATGGTGGGATTCATGAGATTGTACATTTACATCAGAGGGAGTGGGGGTGGTGTCCATGTGAGCATTAATGGCTCACAGACTTGTTGCAGAGTTTCACATAGAATTGTACTGCAATTTTAAACCTATAAATTGTAATTATAAACCTTAATTATCATTTTAAAAATAACATAAAAATTAAATTACTACCCAGTAAAACTTTAAAACAGTCTTTGTTTGCCCTCTCCTAACTCAGGATGAAAAAATGGATTCAGAGGTTGAATTTTCAAAATCTAATTTAATCTATTACAGTGACTGAAATGCATGAAAAAAATTCCTGGAAGTTAAATACAAAGGCCATTTTGAGCTGGTTGGAAGAGAGGGCAACAAACATATTTTAAAGATGGCCCTACTGATGCTTTGTTAAATTTGTATGTAAAACATTTAGTAAATAAACATTTTTTAAAGGTCCTAATTAATGTATATTTTAGATGGAGACAGTCGCAGTTAACCTATGGAATTTCACTGTGTCCTTAAAGACTGGCAGAAGACTGTCTTTACTATCCAATGCCAAATGTAAATTTTTGAATTGCGATTATCATTTTCAAATGAATTTCATTTTTTCAGTATCTTATGTTGCTATCCTAGACTTAGGGAAGCTACTTGTTGCTATGCATGTTTTGTATTTTAAGCTACAATACTGTTGATATCAAACCCAAGGATATTTCCCACTTTTTAAGTTAGAACCACCTTTTTCCCAATGTTTGCCTTTCAATTTCATTTGTGATTTGTAATTAATTTTATTTTCGTAATAAAGTGCGCCACATTTGTCTGAAGATTGTGGAGGCCACAGTAACAACCTCAGAGGACCACATGAAAATAAAAAGGAAGATTGCTGTACGTAATGATACATCCTTACTGGATGATTATAAATTAACCTTTATATTTAATGAATGGCAAAGAGATTGTAACAAATGAGATATCTTGATTAGATTTCTTTATTATAGCCCACTATTGATACTTCTGGGTCATGTTGTGTTTTCACTTAGGCTTGACTTATATTCATTTTTGTGCATCTGTTCCACATGACATTTTGAGTTTTTGAAAAAAATTACATATTATTTTCAAGAGACTTAAAACCTTGATAAATTGATGAGATCAGTTCGACAAATACTTACACATGTTACAGGAATTTTTTTCATTTTTCTTAATTTAACCTCCATGACCTTGGTGTCATTTTCCCCAATTCTCTATTTAGATCAATTTCATAGAGGCAAAGTCATTTTCATCAGTTGCAAAGTAATAAACACTGATATTTATATATGATTTTGCTTTGTCATAAGTCTGTGACTAACTACCGGTATCTAATTTTTTATAGAATTCGAAGTCATACAGTAATATTTCTAGTCAAGTTTGAATCTGTTCTGTGATTATTTCTTTACTCTATTTTAGATTGGGTTGAAAACAGCAAGAGCATGGCTTGGTAAGTTATAAAATATAGTGACAGCACATGACTTGATTAGTTATAAGTTATAGTGACAGAGTATGACTTGATAAGTTATGAGTTATAGTGACAGAACATGACTTGGTAAATTATAAGTTATAGTGACAGTTATAAAGTTATAAGTTATAGTGACAGAACATGACTTGATAAGTTATAAGTTATAGTGACAGAGTATGACTTGATAAGTTATAAGTTATAGTGACAGAGCATGACTTGGAACATGTGAGTTATAAATGACTTTGACAGAGCATGGCTTTGTTGGTTATAAGTTATAGTAACAGAGCATGACTTGGTAAGTTAAGAGTTATTTAGACAGAGCATGGCATGGTTAGTTATAGGTTATAGTGACAGAGCATGACTTGTTAAGATATGTTACAGTGACAGCACATGACTTGGTAAATGACTTTCACAGAGCATTTTTGGGAAGTTATTACTTACTGTTACAGGGCATGAATTAGTTATAAATTATACTGACAGTACATGTATATGGCTTGGTTCTTGTTAGTTAATTTATGACTTTCACAGAGTATGACTTGATAAGTTGTAAGATACTGTTACAGAGCACAAGTTGATAGAATAATATTTACATTTGCAAATGTTTTCCTTCATATAACACTACTGAAAGCAATGCGTATCTATAACTGTATAAACACAGGTACAGGGTCAAGAGGTCATAGATGTGTGTATGCATAATCGTTTAACGTAATTTCTCAGTGACGTCATAAAGGGTCGATACGACACACGTTAAGTGGATTACATACTTGCCGTTGGGTTAAAAAATAATGCATTTCACATGTTAAAAGTCACAATCAGGCAAATATAAAGTATGAATAATTAAGTCACACATGTAAATATAAGTAATAAGGTATCATTTTAAAACATCTATCGGGCTATAATTATGGGTTGGTACAAGATTAAATTCATCATAAAGCCCTTTGGGCCCTTTGTAGTTGATATGAATATTCATCATTGTTTTTTGTCCATTATTGTGTTTATAGGCTATTCAATATATTTAATTATTGGAACCATTTCTTTGTAGATACTAAAGAAGTTGGGATGGCTTCCAAAGTGTTAGACCTAACAGATCAGGTAAGATGATGTACTTGTATTGACTACGTACTGCTTCTGTAGAAATGTGTTTGTAGAGGAATCCCAAGCCCTCTCGGCATCTCTGAGACGTTAATTGTTTAATGTTCAGCTTGGGTAATATCATTGATAAATCTACTCAATTCTGCATAAATGTACAACCATTTATTTATGTTGACATCTAACAAAACATAAACATCAGAGTTTACAATATTTACAGTTTGTGAAGAAGCTACAGAAGTTGATAGTGGATGACATCAATAAGTCTGGGTCATCTATCACAACAGACAAACAGAAGAAGGATGTGGAGAAAGACTTGTTCAAACTGCTCTGTTACAAGGCTGAAGTGGTAAGTCATAACAATGGATACTTATTTTTTATTTAATATACATCAAAGCAAGTAATGTGTTTCAAAGTAAAGTTTGACATAAAATGTAATATTAAGACAGTAATATATCTTGATATAAAAGGGTTCAGTTCATATTTCTATAATTTGTAACAAGTCATGGTATTGATATGACTTTCTCTGCAGAGTTTGGAACAAGGTGATAACTCTACTGCCATGGAGCTCATACAAATCGCTAAAGAAATGTTGATCAAATACCCACACGAGGTCAGAGACAATGTCTATTCTTAATTATTTCTTAAAAATGCCACATCAGTGGGGCGATAATCATTTTTTAAACAGGAAGTTTATTTTTTGTAAAGTTTTGTTGGATTTCGTTGATAGGGGGCATTCCTGTCCATTCTGAGCTATAATTTTGTTGGATTTCGTTGATAGGGGGCGTTCCTGTCCATGCTGAGCTATAATTTTGGGGTGGAACTCTACCAAAAGAAGCGGTTTGATGAAGCTGTGACATGGTTAAGGGAAAGTTTTGAAATTGGGAAAAACCAGACAAACTTGGAGGCAAAAAGTCAGGTAAAACTGATAAATCATACTGTCAGATAAATCATGCTCTTAAGATGTTGTCTTTGTTGGCATGTTCAGGACTTAGAGTGAAATTTATTGAATTAGTATCATTTTCAAAAATGATATTGAATTAGTATCATTTTCAAAAATGATACATAAAGTTTTATCACAAACATAATTCAATTTGTAAACATTGATATATTATTCCAGTGTTTAAAACGAATGTGTTAAATAAATGTTGATGAGCTGTTTCCAATGTGCTTTATGTAATGTATTATGAAATGAAGCCCCTGTTTCCTGGACTTTGTAGGCCAGAACCCTGAGATTGTTGGCGTGTGTTTACATGGAGCTGAATCAGGAAGACCACATCCAGAAAGCTCTGAATGCTGTCACTCTGGCCAATAACGTGAGTTATAGCATAGAAAGCTCTGAAAGCTTTCACTCTGGCCAATAATATGAGTGATAAAATAGAGAGAAACACTAAGTAAGATATCTGCTAGGTTTAAAATCAATCAAGGATAGTGAAGTATAATTCTTGTTTGTTTTTACATAGGAACACCCTCATCCTTCTGGTCTGTTTTTGTTCCTCCGCATTTTGTTAAAAACCAAGGAACCAAACTCTGTCATCTGCAAAGGTAAGCTAAAAATTTCTGAAAAACATTCATTAATTTATAAGTACATTTTAAATTCTAGGAAAAGGATTTTCTATTTCAATCATTTAAAACAGCAATGTTGGTCCTTAAGAAGGAGGGGGAATGGAGATATAATTTTATTATTGTAGTGTTCTGTTTTGTATAATGCTCTATGTTCTGAATAAGCTAATGCTTCTATTATATGTTTTGTATCAGCTGTGTCAGACATCATGCAGCAGCCAGGGGCATCACTGGATGTAGGCATCAACACAGCTCTGTTATTGTCAAGAAATGAAAGGTCAGTCACAACTTCTTACTTATGCTTCTGAGTTTTTCTCACTGATTGTTAAGTCCATTTTCAGCTAAGATGATCTATTCGGATACCTATCTTATTCCACTCCGTAGAGATTAAAATAAATTTTAGACATGACCTTGCTGTTGGGTTAATGAAGGAGCTTCTGAAGAAGTTTGAACATACCTCCAACACAGGAGAGCTCCTAATGACTAACTTTGATATTCTGTTGGCAAGCAAAGACAGGCGGTCTCTTAAAGAGTTTGTGGAGTACTGCATTGAGGGTATGTATTATCCAATGGCATGTTAAAAAAATTATTTCACTGAGAAAACTTAACAAAATAAGGTTCTATGTCTTGGCTTTTCACATATTTCTTTATGAAATTAGGCAGTTCTGGCACACTTAGGTAAAAATAAATAGTCCTAATGTTGATTGTGACAGAAAACAACACTCACGGAGCCCTAGAGCCAGCAGTAAAGAGAAGGTTCCATATTGAGTTCTGGGCTCTGGCCTATACAGCAGATCAGGTATTGTGTGTGTAGAATATAAATTAACTTGTAGTTTCATCTACAACTCAAGCTGAAAATGTAAGGCTTCAGGAATTGGAGAGTAGCTTCAATCAAAAGTTAAAATTAGAGTGATGTATGAAATGATAAATGTCTAACCATTTTTGCATTTAAAAATAATGTATTATGCGGTGTATGATCTTTGTTTCCGTCTTCAACCTGTTTCTGTACAATTTATAGGAGAAGAATTACTCTGAGGCATTGGACTGGTACAACTTTTCCCTGAGTCTGTACAATCGGGAGGAATCGGGGGACCAGAATCTGGCTCGTCTCCATAGAAACCGTGCAACCTGTTATCTCAATCTGGGTCAGATGGACAAGGTACAGTTAAAAAGCTCTACATTTTATAATCTAATTCTTCTTCAGTGGAAGTTTATTCAGTTTCATTCTAAACCATGATCGTAAATGTACTACCCCATTCAAATGTGACAGTTTTCACACAATAGATGTATTAGTGAGAGCATACATTTTTTAAGTTAGCATAATCCAAGAAGTTGAGTACATTTTATTTTTCAAGTTTCTGAATCATTGTAAATACATGTAAATATGAATATAAAGTTAATTTTTATAACCAACAGGCGACGGAGGCAGTAAATGAAGCCAAGAAGTGGGACCCTGCATCCATCAACACAATGTTCCTGTTGTTCAAGCTCGCATTAGCAGCATCTAATGTAGAACAAGGTTTGTTCAAGCTCGCCTTAGCTGAATCTAATGTAGAAGAAGGTTTTTTCAAGCTCGCATTAGCAGCATCTAGTATAGAACAGGTTTGTTCAAGCTTACCTTAGCTGCATCTAATGTAGAACAAGGTTTGTTCAAGCTCGCCTTAGCTGCAGCTAATGTAGAACAAGGTTTGTTCAAGCTCGCCTTAGCTGAATCTAATGTAGAAGAAGGTTTTTTTCAAGCTCGCATTAGCAGCATCTAGTGTAGAACAGGTTTGTTCAAGCTCACCTTAGCTGCATCTAATGTAGAACAAGGTTTGTTCAAGCTCACCTTCGCTGCATCTATTGTAGAATGTTTGTTCAAGCTAGCCTTAGCAGCATCTAATGTAGAACAAGGTTTGTTCAAGCTCGCCTTAGCTGCAACTAATGTAGAACAAGGTTTGTTCAAGCTCGCCTTCGCTGAATCTAATGTAGTACAAGATTTGCTCAAGCTCACCTTAGATGCATCTAATGTAAACATGGTTTGTTCAAGCTCGCATTAACAGCATCTAGTGTAGAACAAGTTTTGGTCAAGCTCACATTAGCAGCATCTAATGTAGTAACCTTAGCAGCATCTGTTGTTGAACTAGCTTTGTTCAATCTCGCTTTAGCTGCATCTAATGTAGAACAAGGTTTGTTCAAGCTCACCTTAGATGGATCTGATATAAAGTTTGCTCCTGAATCTAATGTAGAACATGGTTTGTTCAATCTGGTTTTAGCTGCATCTAATGTAAAATTATATATAATTCTGTTAATTAGGTCACCTGAGTAAACTCAGGTGACCTATTGTTATCCGTTTTCGTCCGTCGTCATGCGTCATCCGTCGTGTGTTAACATTTGAACATTTTCAGCTTCTTCTCTGCAACCACTCAACCAATTTCAACTAAATTTGACATAAAGCATCTATGGGTGAAGTGAAACAAGAATTGTGAATTTCATGATCCCTACCCCCCTGGGGCCTGAGGGGTGGGGCCAAAACCACTAAAATTAATGCAATCTTTAAAAATCTTCTTCTTTACTCCTGGACATCAAGCAGTCAAACTGTTTGAATGATTGTAAGCAGCATTGAGTCCTTTACCAAAATTATGAAATTCATGGCCCTGGGGTCAGGGGTTCTAGTGCTAGGGCGGGGCTGAATAAGTATATAGTGAAAATGCATTAAATCTTTGAAAATCTTCTTCTCTGCTCCTGGGTATTAAATAAACTAACTAAGTACATAGTTATGATGAGCAAGAGTGCCTCTACTAAAATTGTGAATTTTATGGCCCCAGGGTCAGGGGTTCTGGTGTAAGGGCGGGTCTCTATTGATTATGTAGTGAAAATACATGAATTCTTTGAAAATCTTCTTCTCTGCTCCTAGGTATTAAATAAACTAAATAAGTACATAGTTATGATGAGCAAGAGTGCCTCTACTAAAATTGTGAATTTTATGGCCCCAGGGTCAGGGGTTCTGGTGTTAGGGCAGGGCTCTATTGATTATATAGTGAAAATACATGAATTCTTTGAAAATTTTCTTCTCTGCTTCTGGGTATTAAATAAACTAAGTATATAGTTATGATGAGCAAGAGTGCCTCTACTAAAATTGTGAATTTTATGGCCCCAAGGTCAGGGGTTCTGGTGTTAGGGCAGGGCTCTATTGATTATGTAGTGAAAATACATGAATTCTTTGAAAATTTTCTTCTCTGCTTCTGGGTATTAAATAAACTAACTAAGTGCATAGTTATGATGAGCAAGAGTGCTTCTACCAAAATTTTGAATTTTTTGGCCCCAGGGTCAGGGGTTCTGGTGTTAGGGCGGGGCTCTATTGATTACATAGTGAAAATACGTGAATTCTTTGAAAATTTTCTTCTCTGCTCCTGGGTATTAAGCAGATGAACTACCTATATGGTTATGATGAGCAAGGGCCCTAATCTTCCAGAATTGTGAATTTCAAGGCCCCAGGGTCAGGGGTACCATAGAGAGGGGGGTGTACTTATATACTGAAAATGAATGAATTGTTTGAAATCTGTTCCTTGGTATTAATCAAATACTTTTGAAAAGCAAGGATGCCTTTTCAAAAATTGTGCAATGTGTGGATCTAAGCCTAAGGGTCAGGGGTTCATGTGTGGTAGGGCACCTCTAATTATTGCTGAATATTACTGATTAGTTGAAATGCATTTTTTGTTCCCTTACCCTGCCTATAGGTATTAAGTAACCAAACTAAGCAACTGCTAAGTGTATAGTTATGATGATAAATGGTGCCTCTTTCAAAATTGTGAATGCCATAGCATCTGGCTTAAAACATGAATCAAATTCAATCACTGGAAAGTTGTTGCATAATGCTCAGGGGACCTATAAGGCCCGTGGACCTCTTGTTTTTTTTATGGTTTCTGTCCTGAATTATATGTAGCTTCTTTTTTTTTTACAGCCAAAGATATCCTGCAGAAGATGTGTAGTGAGGTGGTTAAGTTAGAAAACACAGACAAAGAAATGGAGGCACAGAAACTTATCTGTCAGGCTGCCTACATGGCTTATGAGGTATAACATCATTTATTTTGGTCATCATGAGGGTGGGGGGGAGCGCATGTATTTTCAAAGTTTTTCAGGCAGGACACATGGCTCAAGATGTACTAGCTGTAGGTCTGTAGCTCTCCGAAAAAAAAATATATTGATAGACTGGAGAGCTACAGTGCCACCCATTGAAAAAACTGTGTATTTATTGCGCACAAAAAAGTGCGCTCGGTTCTCGATTTATTTCTCCATGTTTTTCAAACTGTAATCTCAAAATATTACTAACCGTGTGTTCCTAACATATTCTTTCGCTTTTTCCACAACCAAACATTCCTCATAATTGTTGTTAATAGTCCTCCTGACCCTGATATTGTAATCGTCGAACATTTCACTTATTTATACTGCCATTTGGTTTCAAAGATAATTCGGTCCAATATGCTTCATTCGGATGTCAACTACGAGAGTACTCGATAGAAGATAAAAGAATTTTTTAAAATCTTTCCTTATTTGCAATTGAGGTAAGAATTTGGAAGAATTAATCAAGAACCGAGCGCACTTTTTGTGCACAATAAATATACAGTTTTTTCAATTGGTGGCACTGTAACTCTCCGGTCTATCAATATATTTTTTTCGGAGAGCTACAGATCTGCAGCTAAAGAGGTACAAGCTCTTTGTATTATTTTGGAGGTGTGTATATTTTTTCAAAGTATGACAATGTGATGAAATATGATACAAAATGAAGTAGCAGTGGGTAATGTTCTCTGCTTCAATCATCTCTTCTTTAGATAAATTCAGTTCAATTCTCTGCACTGCAATTTGTTGCATTTAAATTGACATAAAAAAGCTAACGTTCTGAATATTTACCAAAAAATAAAATTTGACAGAATCACAAGGAATCTACAGCAGGCCTGGCTTTGGAGTGTTTGGCCAACTGTAGCTTCGATCTGACCCAGACATTGACTGCTCTCAGGTGTCTCATCCGACTCAAACTGTCCCAGGTCGACCAGGACAAGAACACCAGGTACAAGAGACATTTCTATATAGTACACAGAAAGTGATCCAAGGATGACTTGTAGCATATATTATTGTAAATTAATTAAAAATTAAAGTTGCTTCTAATCAAAGCATCTTGCATAGAATTAAACAGAACATAAAGTGAGGCGTTGATAAACTCAATTTAAGACATACAATTTTTCAGCATTGAAGATGTTGGAATCTTACATGACATAAAAATGGGTACTTGACTTTGTTATTCGTGTTCAGTGTTCAATATATTTTATTTTTAAACTGTGTTAGTTTCTTAGTTTACTAAAATTGACTGTACACTGTTTTTAGCTCACCTCAATGAAGTTGGGGGAGTCATTTGATACCCTTGGCATAGGTTTCTATGTTGTCCAAGGTTCAAGTTTTAGGAGCAAATATTTTTTCAGGTACAAATTTTCTTTGTCCTTTATTAATCAGAGATGTATGGAAGATGGCTTCCTGTATGTTTCATTGAACTAGTCAAGGTTTTAGATCCTGCAGTTTTAGCTATTAAATAATGACCAGGCTGTTTTTAAGAGCAGGTTAACATTATTGAGTGGGTTAAAATTTTTTGGAGCAGTTACTATAAGCCATTTATTGCCCAGAGTTGCATGGATGAAACATCTGCTTCAAAGGTGGATCTGACCTACATTCTCTGACCAGCAGTCTCTCTGTTTGTCCACGAAAACTTGAACCTCGCTCTTAACTTAATTGGGCTATAGTCTTTATATTTCATTATTATACCTCTACTGTTTTACATTGTTACATGATCTTTCAATGGATATAATAATTTTTACCTTGACCTTCGACTGACCAACTTTGTGAAAACTTGAACCTTGGGTATAACTTTGGAACAGGTACATTTATGATCTTTTGACTTTTACCTTGGAGTTTGAATTGCATTTAATAAACTTTAGCTCTGGCTTTAAACTGAGCTGGCATCAGTGTTTCTCAAACTCATCTTGTTGTTGTAGTTTTGATTATGGAAACTGTCTCTTAACTTAATTGTTTTAATTATATAAATAAAATTTCTTGGAAGCTAGTGATTTTCAATAATAATTATATATATATATAGGAGATGTACATAGTGATATGATGAATGTGCACCCCAGTTAATACACTATCTTTGTTTTTCGATGCATTTTTTAAAAAAAAAAAAATTAGTGAGCTGATTGGCTCACCTCATTAGGTTTAGATTACCAACTCTAAACAAAGATTTCCTCTTTTCGATTTCAGCATACAACAAACTTATGCGTGAAGAAGACAAGGGAGGTAAACTGTCCCCAAAACTCAGTGAGGAGGCCAGCTGGTTTATGAGAGTAGGTGAGTAGTCCAGTGACTCAGTAAGTACTGTATAAACTCAGTGAGGAGGCCAGCTGGTTTATGAGAGTAGGCGAGTTGTCTGGTGACACATTGATCATTGTTTTCATTAAAAATACAGTCAAGTTCCGTTAGTCTGTGTGGTATGGTTACGTATTAGTTACTGTAGATTCCTTATTCAGTTCAACATCAAATTGCGAGAATAATAATTCGCGAATGGACAGTTTATAAAAAAAAATTTACATAGATTTCAGTACTATAAAAATAAAGGCGAGTAATTTTATTTGGCGTGTGGTGCTTCACGCGAAATAACACGATAAATAATTCCACAGGTATATTTAGGAATGTACAGTATATTTTGTCCTCTTCATAATTATTATCCAAAGGAGAGGGGTATATACTGTTTAACCCTTGTGTGTCTATGTAGCTGTCTCTCTGTCCAAACCATATGTTTGGTAGCAGTTTTCTCAGCAACTTCTTATTGCAGATGCTTGAAATTTTAGCACATCCTTTGTGCTGAGGCATGCCAGATGGTTGAATTTATTTTTGTTCAAATCCAGTGCCAACTTCCTGTTAATCCATGCATCTGTCCTTACTTAGTATGTTAAAAAATTGTCAGTTTTTTTCAGTAATTACTCATTGCAGATGATTGAAATGTTAATTAGCACACTCTTTGTTGTTAAAGCATGCCATTTTATTATTGTATGAATCTGATGTCAACGTCCTATTTATCTGTGCATCTTTGTGTAACTGATCTTGTGTGTATTTATACATGATAGTGTATATTCACAGCGGAGCGGGGGTATTACAGGTTAGCATTGGTTTAACAGACTTAAATTCTTGTTATGTTTTACTGTCAAAGGAAAAGAATTTTTTTTTGTGAGTGAGGTTTTTTTCCTCAAAAATCAGTTGTGTTAAACTGTATAGTAATTTAGTAATGTTATGTAAGATTCCTGTTTTCTTACTTATCTGGTGCTTTGTATTGTTCTAGCTTGGAACCTGGCCCTGAAATGTGAAGAGAGACCAGGCTTGATGAAAGATTTATATAAACTCTGTTCTCAAGTGAGTTTTGACCACATTTAATGCAAACAAAGAAATCATTATCATTGATTAAACAGTATTGTAGTTTCTGTTGTATATCTGATTTTATAATGGTTTCTTCATTTTACAGTATTCAAGTTTCTGTTATATGACTAATGATAATTATCTTCAAGTTGATTTTATTTTACCTGCAGTATTGTACCTTCTGTTACATAACTGATGACATAATGTTATCAAGTATTACAGTATTCCAGTCTCTGTTATGATGACAACATGTATTTACAGTATTCCAATCCAGTCTCTGTTATGATGATGACGTGTTGTATTTACAGTATTCTAGTATGTGTTACAATGACATGTTGTATTTACAGTATTCCAGTCTCTCTTATGATGATGACATGTTGTATAATAATTTTACAGTATTCCTGTCTCTCTTATGATGATGACATGTTGTATATTAATTTTACAGTATTCCTGTCTCTCTTATGATGATGACATGTTGTATGTTAATTTTACAGTATTCTTGTCTCTCTTATGATGATGACATGTTGTATATTAATTTTACAGTATTCCTGTCTCTCTTATGATGATGACATGTTGTATATTAATTTTACAGTATTCCTGTCTCTGTAATGATGATGACATGTTGGATATTAATTTTACAGTATTCCTGTCTCTCTTATGATGATGACATGTTGTGTATTAATATTTCAGTATTTCTGTCTCTCTTATGATGATGACATGTTGTATATTAATTTTACAGTATTCTTGTCTCTCTTATGATGATGACATGTTGTACAGTATTCCAGTCTCTCTTATTTTACAGTATTCCAGTCTCTCTTATGATGATGACATGTTGTATATTAATTTTACAGTATTCCTGTCTCTCTTATGATGATGACATGTTGTATATTAATTTTACAGTATTCCTGTCTCTCTTATGATGATGACATGTTGTATATTAATTTTACAGTATTCCTGTCTCTCTTATGATGATGACATGTTGTGTATTAATTTTACAGTATTCCTGTCTCTGTAATGATGATGACATGTTGTGTATTAATTTTACAGTATTCCTGTCTTTGTAATGATGATGACATGTTGTATATTAATTTTACAGTATTCCTGTCTCTGTAATGATGATGACATGTTGTGTATTAATCAGTATTCCTGTCTCTCTTATGATGATGACATGTTGTGTATTAATTTTACAGTATTCCTGTCTCTCTTATGATGATGACATGTTGTGTATTAATTTTACAGTATTCCTGTCTTTGTAATGATGATGACATGTTGTATATTAATTTTACAGTATTCCTGTCTCTCTTATGATGATGACATGTTGTATATTAATTTTACAGTATTCATGTCTCTCTTATGATGATGACATGTTGTATATTAATATTTCAGTATTCCTGTCTCTCTTATGATGATGACATGTTGTATATTGATTTTACAGTATTCCAGTCTCTCTTATCATGATGACATGTTGTATATTAATTTTACAGTATTCCTGTCTCTGTAATGATGATGACATGTTGGATATTAATTTTACAGTATTCCTGTCTCTCTTATGATGATGACATGTTGTATATTAATTTTACAGTATTCCTGTCTCTGTAATGATAATGACATGTTGTATAATAATTTTACAGTATTCCTGTCTCTCTTATGATGATGATATGTTGTATATTAATTTTTCAGTATTCCTGTCTCTGTAATGATGATGACATGTTGTATAATAATTTTACAGTATTCCTGTCTCTCTTATGATGATGACATGTTGTGTATTAATATTTCAGTATTCCTGTCTCTGTAATGATGATGACATGTGTATTAATATTACAGTATTCCTGTCTCTGTAATGATGATGACATGTTGTATATTAATTTTACAGTATTCCTGTCTCTCTTATGATGATGACATGTTGTATATTAATTTTACAGTATTCCTGTCTCTGTAATGATGATGACATGTTGTATAATAATTTTACAGTATTCCTGTCTCTGTTATGATGACAACATGTATTTACAGTATTCCAATCCTGTCTCTGTAATGATGATGACATGTTGTATTTACAGTATTCTAGTATGTGTTACAATGACATGTTGTATTTACAGTATTCCTGTCTCTCTTATGATAATGACATGTTGTATATTAATTTTACAGTATTCCTGTCTCTGTAATGATGATGACATGTTGTGTATTAATCAGTATTCCTGTCTCTCTTATGACGATGACATGTTGTATATCAATATTTCAGTATTTCTGTCTCTCTTATGATGATGACATGTTGTATATTGATTTTACAGTATTCCTGTTTCTCTTATGATGATGACATGTTGTATATTAATTTTACAGTATTCCTGTCTCTGTAATGATGATGACATGTTGTATATCAATATTTCAGTATTTCTGTCTCTCTTATGATGATGACATGTTGTATATTAATTTTACAGTATTCCTGTCTCTCTTATGATGATGACATGTTGTATATTAATTCTACAGTATTCCTGTCTCTCTTATGATGATGACATGTTGTATATTAATTTTACAGTATTCCTGTCTCTCTTATGATGATGACATGTTGTGTATTAATATTACAGTATTCTTGTCTCTCTTATGATGATGACATGTTGTATATTAATTTTACAGTATTCCTATCTCTCTTATGATGATGACATGTTGTGTATTAATATTTCAGTATTTCTGTCTCTCTTATGATGATGACATGTTGTATAATAATTTTACAGTATTCCTGTCTCTGTAATGATGATGACATGTTGTGTATTAATTTTACAGTATTCCAGTCTCTGTTGTGATGATGAGGAGAACACCTTAACAAGGAAGAAGACCTGCCTTCTGATGGCTACAGCTGCCTGTCTACAACAAGCCAGGACTGACGGACTCCCAAACTCACTTAAGGTATTTACTGTACTTTCTCTTGTGTTTGAAGCTCTTCAATGAATGATATCATTACATTGCATCTGCAACAAATGTATTTATCATATGGTTTTCATTACATCCCAATTTTACCATCATTTTCTAGAGTGTAATTAAGAATTGCATACATCATTGAGATTTCAGTATGTTCATGAATTTATTAAAAGAGGCAAAATTATGGATTATCTGCCCATGTATATAAGAGGATTTTTTAAAACAAATTTTTCCTTTCAAACAGTTAGCTTGTAATGTATTGAGGATCAGTTATTAACTTTTTACAGGATAATTATTTGGAGGAAGCCGTTGACTTTATTCATGAATGTAAATCAGTCAATCAGCAGATCCATCAGGAGATGGACCTAAACTCCTCTATAGGTAAACACCTGTGTTACTTAGATGTTAATACACAATAATACAGCATGCTATATAGTGTATTTGACCTTTGATGATTAAAGGTAACTTTGGCTTTGAAATGTCATTAATAAATTACCATTACTTAAAGCATACACAGCAATCAGAAAGGTTAAAACTTAGTAGATCTTAGGTATCTAGTGATGTAAAATAAAGTTTAACATTTAACTATGTGATTAGACTGTTGATAAACATCATGATTGTATGTGTTATACTAAAATCTGCATTTTCCCACTTTTTCAGATGCTAGGACCCAGGATAAAGCAGACACATTAATGATGATGTATGAATTCGAGGCACGCTGTAAACTACAGGATCCGTCTGTAGAGGAAATTATTGAAGTTTTACTGAAAATCCCTAATCCCGATCCTAAACCATTTGAAACTATAGCTGGTAATTGAAAATTCCATAATTCTGATCCCAAACTATAGTATTTGAAACAATAGCTGGTATTCTCATGAAAGATCTTAATCCTGATACCAAACCATTGAAAACCATAGCACACACAAGCAAAGATGTGAATGAAATCTACAGTGTAATTGTATGTCCAAAGTCAAGAATATTTGTCGTTGAAATATGTGAAACTTTCAAAATATATCAAGTTTATGTCCTTTCTATATAGCATGGTTCCTTTAATTTTCTTTTTTTCTATCCTCGGCTTTTCAGCTCTGTCAATGGAACCACAATCTATTCACAAAAATATTGGAGTTCGAGCCCTGAAGATAGCTATAAGGAAACATCTACAGATGCCAACAGTGGACTTTGACAGAATCAGGTAGGTATGTAGAAACATCTACAGATGCCAACAGTGGACTTTGACAGAATTAGGTAGGTATTAGGACAGAGTCCAACAGTTGACTTTGACAGAATCAGGTAGGTATAAGGACAGAATCCAACAGTGGACTTTGACAGAATTAGGTAGGTATTAGGACAGAGTCCAACAGTTGACTTTGACAGAATCAGGTAGGTATAAGGACAGAAAAATCCAACATGTGTGACTTTGACAGAATTAGGTAGGTATTAGGACAGAGTCCAACAGTGGACTTTGACAGAATTATGTTCTACAGAAAACATAATGTATTAATGTAATACTGAATTGCAAGTTGATAAATCTGGGTCTTTTGAATTTGTATTTTTAAAGTAAATTGCATCACAGTTTGGTACATTATTTTGCATATCAACTGTAAACTCTGTTAAGAGATTCATACTCTAGGCTCTTTTGTTTTTCTGCAGTAAACTATATTTCAATCTGATACAGCACCTAGCTGTAAACCACAGTAAACTGTATCGAGGTCTGATACTGTAAGCTGGTTGTTTTATATTACAGGAAGCTGCACTGTGGTTTGATACATATGATTCTGTTTTATATTAACTGTAAACTGTATCGAGGTTTGATACAGCAAGCTCTGTTTTATATCCACAGTAAACTGTATCGAGGTTTGATACAGCACACTCTGTTTTATACCCACAGTAAACTGTACCGAGGGTTGATACAGCACACCCTGTCCTCTGTCTCAGACAACACCAAACAGGAAGCTCTGACTCAATACAACGAAGTGGTAGACCTCATTGACAAAAAAGCTCAGGTATGGACTAAAGGGAATGTAATGGAAAGAAAAGATTTTATAGGCCAGGAATAAGTATTTTAATTTATCTTAAAAAAAAGTTTTAAAGTTTGAGTTGAGTTTTCCCTTATTGATCATTCATATTTTTTGTAATTAAAAAAGATATTTAGAAATATTTGTTTAAAAAAAGAAGAATTTTACAAGTAAACAGTTGTAAAACTTATGCGACAGGTGAAGATATAAATAAGCTTTAAACAATTGTTACAAGTAAATGTTAACAAGCCATTCCCAATTATCAGATTATAGGACTAACAGATAATTATTGTAGGTGGATTACCCAGAGATTGAAATCCAGTGGTTGATGACAAAAGCTTGGAATTGTGGGGTGACATTCCTAAGGTGGGTGTCCAGTTCTTGTTAATCATCAATTGCCAGATCTTCCCGTTTCCTGAGCATATGCTCCCTTTACAAAGTTTTGCTATCCCTTATTGTACGTTCTTCGGAGATAAATAAGTTTTAGCTCACCCCAATAAGACCAAGAAAGTTGGGGAGCTTATGTGATACCCATGGAGTCAGCACAGGTTTTCAGTACAGTTTTCTTTTTAATACTTCTATGCCCTACATTAGTCCGAGATGCATTGAAGATGCTTCTAATGTGTTTCATTCTACAAGCCAAGGTTTTATATGCTGCAATTTCAGCAAAGGAATATCCATATTAATATTTTTGGAGCAAGTTTTTGGCACAGGTAAAACTTTTTGGTGCAGATCTCATTTCCAAGTAACTTAAGCACTGTATTTCAGCTCTGGGAGATATGAGCTAGCAGAGAAGTGGTGTAACACTGGCATGAAGTTTCTGAAGCACCTCAGTCTGGGAGTACAGCTTAACTACAATGAAACGGTACATCCTCTATTCTTTTATCACTTCTTGTCCTAATAGGTCCAAATAGTACAGCTTTACTACACTAAGACAGCATATCTTCCTATATTACCTCTTAATCAGAAATGCAAGATTAAATTCCGATAATACATTCGCAAAATATTTCCTAATTCATGAAAAATGTTCTGTCAGAGCAATAGTTTAATATTATCCTTCACTAGATATATGCAGTTCATTTCCTGACTGCTCATTCATTGAGGTAATGAAAGGTTGAACCATGTCCCGAGTTGATGAATCTTAAAAAAAAAAACCAGATCTTGTTGATTTCTTGTTCAGATGACTACTAGTGATGTCCTCTTGCTACCCTTTTTAGATGACAAATACATATGCTGACATCTTGGAGCAGATTGATAAATCCAGAACAAGACAGCTAAATCCAGAACCATAGATTATAGAACCAAGATAATCCAGTATCACAGATAAAAGACAAATAAATCCAGACGAAAAACTCCTAACCAAGCAGCTTGAGGAATGAAAAAGATCACAGACTGACAGACACTTGTACACCTTGTCACAAGATCAATGACAAAGACATTGGATTTTTTTGTTTTATTCTTTAATAGTTGATAATCATGTTCCATGATTTTTATGTTTCACAATAAATTATTAAAATAAGAACTTCTTTATAAAGTTTTTACAAGGTAAAAAAAAAGTTCAACAATTAACATACATGTAAACATTTGTCACACATTTAACATTACAACAACCATTTATGAACTTCACAAAACATACCAGACAGTTGACATTACATGTACAGCAAACATAACTGTGACAAAATAGAAGTATTATAAAATATGTAACAAATATAAGACATTAAAACTGCACAGCATAGATATGTACCATAAACAACACAATATTTTCTCGAAAGATTAGTCACGAAAATTTGGGTTGCGAAAGCAATTTTCAAATATTTGTGGAACTTACGATGGTACTTTTAAACAATACATAGAATCTTAAAAACACAAGTACTTGAATGTCTCTCAAAACATGTTGTAAAATGATGCAATAAAATCAAAAACTTAAGATTGTAAGAAAATGATTAAATGTTCCCAATGTAAATTTTAATAATTTATTAATAATTAATCTGATTAATTTTAACTGAAATCAAATGCACCACATGATGTATAGTGTACTTCTGGATAAAATTAAAGAAAGTGTAAACCCATTTCTGACTAGGCTCAAAAAGTCGTGCTCCAAAAGAAAGTGAACACATTCCAAACACGAAATATGGATACAGAATGGGAATTCTCAGTTGAAGCATGACATGGTTAGTTTAGGTGTGTGTAGGATGTATAGGAGTTTGAGTGCTCATGCTGTAGGCTTCCCAGACCGCATGTAGTTTACCCAGTTTGTACTGAGACACTTGGCCTCCTGTCAAAGGAAAGACGTTTGCATTATTCAAGATTTTAGAAAGAAAAATAATATATTTGTGATTCTCTATATAAGGAGAATAATGGCTTACAATGACTTTGGCCTTGGACCTGATTTCGTCCATGGTGAGGGGTAGGGGAGCTGGGGGCAAGGTCAAAACTTTATCTTCCTTAACATCTCCTACGCTGAAAGTCTGCCTCCTGAAATTAGAATGGTTAAAACGTACATACAGGGACTGGTAAAGGAAATAAAAGATCAAGATTTCCTGAAAAACAGTATCTATCCTTGGCTCATACATTCACCTCCATCATTGGAGTACCAAGGAAATGTTGAACTGATCTGGAAGTCCCAAGCACTTAGTATTTAAATATTTTAGCCTTGAAATTTTGAATTATTGGACATCTTGAAGTTTTTTCTTGCTCCCATTGAGTTCTAGATAAGGAGGTTTAACTGTAATTAATACTGACGTGAGCTAATGTTTATATCCTTTCAGACAGATGTTATAACAGTCTTTTAGTGACAGGATACGGGATGATACCTGGTTAGTAAATTTCATACCTGGCGAGTGGGTGTCATGTATGAAATTTACTAGCCAGGTATCATCCCGTACCCTGTCACTAAAAACTATGTAATGAATTTACCCCACTAATGAAACAATTACTTATTATCTGTGATTTATAAATGTTTTTCTCTAGCTGCTATATACTTCATCACACTTATACTGTGCCTATTATGACATCACATTGTTTTAGTTACATACATGTAATACATTGACTGGGTATAGATTTACAACGGACTGGGTATAAGTAATCCACTTCCTTCACGTGACAGTCTTCAACCAATTGTAAGCAAGGATTTCACCATAAAATCAACAGAGGTGGGGTAAACAGATTTATCAATATTTGAAATAATCCTTGGAATATTATACTTTCAACTTTATGTCAAAAATCTTTAAGCAAGTGTATGGCAGAGGTATCGGAGAAAGGAACAAACAACAACTTTACTAGCTGGGGAGATTGCATGAAAAATAGCGAGTAGATGGAAAGTCTACATGAACTATTAATTATGAGTTTCATCCCTGTAAATCTCAAAGTAATGTCACACAATTAAAATTCTTATGGACTTTTGTAGATTTTAAATTGCTCTTTGGATATAAAATTGCGTCCCTTGTCTTGCATTCCCTGGTCATTTTTATTGCAACTGCACACACTGATTTCTAAAGTCAGAGAGACTGACCTGACAATTTAGCGGCGGCTTTAGACGACCCATCCGACAATTTTGGAGGAGGCTTTAGATGACCCACCTGACAATTTTAGAGGACGCTTTAGACGACCCATCTGACAATTTTGGAGGAAGCTTTAGATGACAAACCTGACAATTTTAGTGGGGGCTTTAGGTGACCCTATGACAATTTTAGAGGACACTTTAGAGACCCACCTGATAATTTTAGCGGAGGCTTTAGGGGACCCACCTGACAATTTTAGAGGAGGCTTTAGATGACCCTCGGCTGTACAGATTCTCTCTGCTTCCCTTCTGAGATGCCAGATTTTCTCTGCTACCCCTCTGGGATACTAGGTTGGTTCTAGTACTGGCCCTTGAGACAGGCACAGACTCCACGAGTGGACCAAATATTTCCACAGGGTCAGGAACCCGGATGTCCTCCTCAGTGATGTAAACATCCTCTGGAGCTGGTAGAGTCGCCACCTAGTGAAAGATAATCAAATCTAGTGTAAGAACCATAACTCTGTATAGCAAAATTTCTATCACTGTTATTATTCAGAACACAGATATACCAGTACAAAAAATATTTTAAGTATCATCTTTAAAAAGTGTTTCAATATCCAGTACACAATAACACTATCAGAAAACTAGTTTAATCATAAGACTGGGAGGTGTTTTTTTTTATCAACACAAAGGCAAAAATAAAGTATATTTTAGAAGATTATAAAGTTCACACTCTCCTTGCATATAGTAAGAGGTGACATCAATTGCACACAATACAGTGAAATGAGTTTTGCAATTGTGCAGAAAGTTCATTCACATTGTGAATTTAGCAAGTCTGCTGAGGTTTAAAACAAACTATCCTTCAGTGTGCACAACACAGATTTACACCTACAAAGTTTTTGATTCCGCAGTACAGTGCTCGCTGAAATCAAACAAAAAATAAATAAAAAAAACTACAGAAAGCAGAGAGACTAATTGTACATGTATTCCCTATTGACACTGAAAAATAATGAATTCATGCATCTATAGGATATAGTAATTTGATTTTAAGGTTTTTGGAGTTAAACAATTAGTGCACTAATATATTTCATGCATGTTCACATATTTCAACCATGAAATTAAAATATTTTGTATATTTATTAGTCATAAAGCAAACAGTTTTTTTTCAGTTGTTATATATTAAATAATAAGAAGCCTTATCAAAAAGAGCTGGATCTTAAAGATCATCAAAACAGCTAGATTTTTAAGTAACATATCTAAAAATTAAAATGAGTTCTTAAAAAGCCATCTTTACACAGTTAGGAATTCACACAATCTACTATAAATAACATTCCCAATACCAAGGGGAGGTAACTCCCAGTCATCAACGCAACATACTCTTCATCTACCTATAGGGACAAAACCTTAAACATGTCATTATAGATAACAGGACAAAACCTTAAACATGTCATTATAGATAACAGGAAATAAGACTTGTCAGAATTGAATGTTACAGAATGTATATTATGATGACCTACCACATCTCGTAGACTGTTCCCCTCCAGGATTTGGTTGATTTCACCATGTTTCTCCAGTATCCTACAGAGATAGTAAGAGGAGAGTGATTCATTCATATCGTATTATCTATGTCATGAATTTTGGAAAACATTAAAGTAAGGCTCCAAAACATTGGAAAGGGTGCTAATTTGTGAAATAGTTTTTTTCACACATTCCCTTTGGTTCAACAAGTACGTCAATCTTTTTTTTTTATTCATGAAAATTCATTTTCAAATATCTTTGTTTAATAAACAATTCTATAAAACAATATTAACAAGAGATGTTTGTAAAACACCTATGCCCCCTCCCCCAAATAATTGGAATTTTTCTAGTCCAAGGGATATAACTGTCCAAAATGGGACAATTGTACCCAAAACAGAATTTGACCTAGATAATCTTTATCATAAATCTGTATACCAAATTTCATTTCAATATGTGCAACCTCTGTGAAGAAAATGAACGGAAACTGATGGTGGACCTGACAGACAGCAGCAAAGCAATATGCCTTCCCTTCTTTGAAGGTGGCATAAAAATTCATATAATTTTTATGTCTTATAAAATTAATGTGTCATATGAATTTTGTTATCTATCGGGTGCAATATATAAAATACCTGTTGGTTGCTGCATTGTGGGCCATTGACAACTGATACATTCTGTTCATATATATAACTACTATATGTGTGTATTGTCAGGCTGTAATATGTACCTGTTGGTTGCTGCATTGTGGGCCATTGACAACTGATACATTCTGTTCAGTTTCCTAAGAAACTTCTTCCTTTGTTTGATTCTGACCTTCAAATCAATCTCTCTCTGCAACTGTTAATTAAAGGAGAAAAAATTAATTATACTTATAGAAAAATAAAAATAGACTCAACCAGCAAGTGATAAAAATATTTGTTGAAATGAAAGTGTTATTTTTGTTCTTTCTTTGTTGACATATACAGATACTGCCATTACTAAAGACATTAGACACTCTCCTATTTATTTTGGTATGGTAGACTTTGATTATCATGGTAAGCATGATGAGCACAGAAATTATCGTTTTGACATGTTCATAAACTAAACGATGTATGTAGCCAACCTTTAGTCTGCTGTCATAATAAACATTACAGTAAACAGATACATGTATTAGTTACCTCCTCTGGATCGGGCGGTTTCTCCCCAAGATCTATGGTAAAGCTCTTCATTGGCGGCATTTGTGTCTATAAATTAACAAAGAAACACAAGATTAAATCTTTTTACTACTTATTTCATAAGTCCAGAAACTGAAAGCAATGCACATACATTTTGAAATATCCTTAACTTATGTAGACATATTTGAAATTGAATTTTTTGTCGGAAATTCTTGAAAGCAGACCCACCTCGTTTCCTATGGACCTTTAAGTTTTTTTTTTCAGTTTGACAGTCAAATTTCAATTTTAATCAAGAGTTGTCCCCCTTTTCAATGCATTTTGCCACTCAATTTTCTTTTCTTTTCTTAATATGTATCTCACATCTATCGTTAGAAATGTGTCAGTCCAGTACTCCCTGGTGGTATACTTTTAATGTACCATGCAGAGTTAAATACTATTATTTCCTGTAAGTTTATTGTTGGAATGAGTGCACTGCTACATTCTTGTATACATGCATATATAAAGTTAATCATATACTAGATATTAATTATACATGTACCATTGTTAGGTCACAAGCATTTTTATATTAATTATACATATAATGTATTTGTTAGGTCACAAGCATTTTTAGCCATCACCTGTTTTCTTTAAAAAACAAATGTTAGAATGACATAAACAGTGTCATTTTGGGCCAATTGTTGCTGCTAATGAGGTTTAACAAAATTTTATGCTTTTATTGATTGAACATTCAAAAAAAAGTTCTAGTCTATAGAAGAAAAAAAAAAAACCATAAAAAGTATTCATCAAAATTTAATGGAAGAGAATTTAATTCTTGATAAATCCATTTTCTTTTTTCAGTCTTTATTTGAATTGATTTTGTTGTACATTATTTAACCTATAAATCTGTCTGTTGACTGTGTATTATCTTACCTTTGGGAACCTCTTCTCTAGATCCTGGGCCGCCTGTCTGGCAATCTGATGGGGAGTCATGCTCTTACCCTGCTGTAAAACAGAGAGTGACACTGATTACTGAATATTTCCATTTCTATTTTTTTTCTCTGTGACAACTCTTTGAAAGTTAGCGGAGTTGACCATGGAATGCAAATCAGGCAGGTAATTAAAATGCATCTCTGTGTCTGACACTAAGGAGGCCAAATATGCATGTAAATCTCGTGCAGCTGCCTTTGCGTTTGACATCAGTGGCCGAGGACTACTGAAATTGGGATGGGAGTCCTCATGTAATTTAAATCTATGTCTACATTTTTAAAGTCTTAATCTACAATTTCATTTCACAATGAAATGGAAATATACTGACACGCAAAAGAAACGCAACACCCTACTTTAGGGGGAAATAATTATGTAAAGTCAAGAATTTTGTATCTTAAAATTATGGATATCTTTTTTGGTAAATATGGGTAATTTAAAAATTTACCATAAAAAAGTTTGAGTCTGCTTTACAGAAATCAAAAAATTGGATGTTTATCAAAACATTTGGCAATATCATGGAGTTTTAAGAGTTTTTACCGTTCATCTTAAGTAATGCAGCAATATTTCAATAAATAAAATCTCATTTTGTTTCCCGTAACGATGCTATGGCTTCTCGAAAATGGCTTAAGTACGCATTTCCAATGAAAATCCCAAAGAAAACGTGATGGAGAAGATGCAAAAAACACTGCATTAAATTTGTATTGTAAATGATAGTCCTTGGACCGGAAATCAAAGGGTTACTACAATGTGGTAAGTTAGAGAAAATTCGAACTAATTATCTGAAAAACGGGCATTTAAAAATGTCAAAGAATAATTCTTTCGCTCAAATCTCAATATTGATTAGCCTATTGTATCGTAGAAATTAAGCTGCAATTGTTGTTTAGAGCAGTCTTGCACGTTGTAATTCAATGGCTGGGAGGGGGGTGTTTTAACAGGCATATGTTACTTAGTAAGATAAACATTTAACATTTTTATCAAATCTCTCATGTTAGGAAAAGTGTTTTTAGCCTTACTGTATCCTTTTTTGGAAATCATTAGATAAAAAATTCAAATATTTGTTGAGTACTGCTTGTTGCGTTTCTTTTGCGTGTCAGTATATAAGGAATCACTGGGACATCATACTGGGAAACATGGGATAAATAACCCTGCTGTAAAACAGAGAGTAATACAGATTACTGAATGAACTCCTTCCTAGAAATCCATGTGTACAAATAAACAAATAATTTGAAGATATGTAAAACTGAGGCCTGTTCAAGAGAGTAAGCGTTCTATACATTTCTGTTGGAGGTATAAGGAATTTAGGAGAGCACTTGCGAACGTTCTCTCTGTTGTACAGGGCTCTGGACAGGGGGATATACAATGTAGGATGGTTGTCAAGGAAAGGAAATGGCCGTCTTGATTGTAAGAGGGCGGGGGAGTAATTGTTCAGTATTTATCAATTTATTATCTCCCATAGTCATTTGTTTTATGAAATTCAGGCTTTTTGGGATTTTATAAAATTCCTTCAAAACAAAGGGTACTATGGAGTACCGTATACATGTAATCCCTTTTAACCGCCCACGGCACTTAGAAAATTGTGAAAAGGGGGCGGTTATTTTGATATTCTCTTTATGATATTTAATGTCATATTTAACTTCAAGAAATCTTTTTTAAAAAAAAAAAAAATAAATTCATAGAACCCCTAAAATCTTTCACTTTCAGGAATACTTTACGTATGAGTTTCCCAATAACCAAGTTACATTTTCACTTTCTTCAAATTATAGCAGACTTTGATACGCTTCTAGATGATTTTAATCACTTTACATGGGGCCCTTATTTCCTGTCAATTGAAAAAGGTTTAGGGGGCGCTTATATATAGGGGCAGGGGTGGTTTATAGGGATTTTATGCTATTAAATAACTTTGCTTACCTCATGTTTATGTTTGAACTGTTGTGCCTACCTCGTGTTTATGTTTGAATTGTTGAGTGACGGCCCAGTCCTGTCGTGTGTCAGGTCTAGACGACCGCTCGGAGATATAACTCAGAGATCGGGGAGGTAACTCTGCCAGAGAGGCATGGGGGTGTGACTTCTCTGGTCTTAGGTTACTCACACTTGTGGAACTGACATCTACAAAGTTAAAAGATACAATTATACAAGGACATATTTTCAATTTCTAAATTCCAACTACATAACTAGAGACATATTTCTCATACGCTTTTATAAAACAGAATTTTGTTTAATTATGTGTATTTTAGAAATGATGACATGATACCAAATAAATGATGAATGATGATAATACAGATGACTATTTCTGACCTGGCTTGATGATAAATACAGATGACTATTTCTGACCTGGCTTGATGATAACTACAGATGACTATTTCTGACCTGGCTTGATGATAATTACAGATGACTATTGAGTCTGACCTGGCTTGATGATAAATACAGATGACTATTTCTGACCTGGCTTGATGATAAATACAGATGACTATTTCTGACCTGGCTTGATGATAAATACAGATGACTATTTCTGACCTGGCTTGATGATAAATACAGATGACTATTTCTGACCTGGCTTGATGATAAATACAGATGACTATTTCTGACCTGGCTTGATGATAATTACAGATGACTATTTCTGACCTGGCTTGATGATAATTACAGATGACTATTTCTGACCTGGCTTGATGATAAATACAGATGACTATTTCTGACCTGGCTTGATGATAAATACAGATGACTATTTCTGACCTGGCTTGATGATAACTACAGATGACTATTTCTGACCTGGCTTGATGATAAATACAGATGACTATTGAGTCTGACCTGGCTTGATGATAACTACAGATGACTATTTCTGACCTGGCTTGATGATAAATACAGATGACTATTTCTGACCTGGCTTGATGATAATTACAGATGACTATTTCTGACCTGGCTTGATGATAAATACAGATGACTATTTCTGACCTGGCTTGATGATAATTACAGATGACTATTTCTGACCTGGCTTGATGATAACTACAGATGACTATTTCTGACCTGGCTTGATGATAATTACAGATGACTATTTCTGACCTGGCTTGATGATAATTACAGATGACTATTTCTGACCTGGCTTGATGATAACTACAGATGACTATTTCTGACCTGGCTTGATGATAAATACAGATGACTATTTCTGACCTGGCTTGATGATAAATACAGATGACTATTTCTGACCTGGCTTGATGATAACTACAGATGACTATTTCTGACCTGGCTTGATGATAATTACAGATGACTATTTCTGACCTGGCTTGATGATAACTACAGATGACTATTGAGTCTGACCTGGCTTGATGATAAATACAGATGACTATTTCTGACCTGGCTTGATGATAATTACAGATGACTATTTCTGACCTGGCTTGATGATAACTACAGATGACTATTTCTGACCTGGCTTGATGATAACTACAGATGACTATTTCTGACCTGGCTTGATGATAACTACAGATGACTATTTCTGACCTGGCTTGATGATAACTACAGATGACTATTTCTGACCTGGCTTGATGATAAATACAGATGACTATTTCTGACCTGGCTTGACTGAGGTCTTTGCTGTGTAGGAGTTCAGAAGAACCGGGTCCTTGGCATCTTCTCGGAACTTATCAATGTCGGCTTGAGTCTTTAACTTTCCCTCCTTAATCAGTCTGTCCTGTATCTCAACTATCTATAATTATAAGAATTGTAGCTAAATTAGAAGTACCTACCAAATAAAATATTACATTTCTGCATTTTCTGTACCATAATAAATCTACCTCTGTCATTTCGTGAGACATGTTGTAAAGTTACCCTAGCTGTTTCTGTTTTTGTGATGTATTTCAGGTGTTCATTATTTACCTTAGCTGTTTCAGTTTTTGTGATGTATTTCAGGTGTTCATCATTTACCTTAGCTGTTTCTGTTTTTGTGAGGCCAAAATAAAAAATACCTTTGTTTCCCCTAACGCGACCGACCCAACTAAAACGTGCCGACTGAGAAGATTTTTTAAATAACATGATTCAAAATTTTTTTTATTGTCAACCAAGTTTTGTAAAATACAATTTCACCAAAATCAGTATTTTTCAGAATGGCCGACACTGTTCTACTGTGATTTTCAAGCATTTGATGGAAACAAAATAGCGCCCAGATGTGATTACAGAGAAGTAGTTCTTCATAAAACAATGGCGATGTCTCAATCTTATGCCTTTAGCTAACTAGAATTCTTCACTCTTGAAACAATTTGATAATAAAATTTACCATGACTAATTAGGTGTCTTGGCGTCTCCATGTGAGTGAATAAATTTTCGAAAGATAGGGACGATAAACAAGGAACAAACAAATCTGTCTGTTGAATTTCAGGTACATGGAAAGCCCAACCTCATGAGCAAATGAGGGGCCCACCTAGTGAACACATCATTCAATTTCACTGCATTTTATTATACCCCCCGCTTGAAAAGTGGGAGGGTATAAAGTAATCGGTATTTCCATCCGTCCACCTGTTACGCTTTGGGGTACCCATCTCTTATCCGCAACTTCTCTCACACCACTAAAGGAAATTTAATGAAACTTTCACAGATTCTTAATTACATATGGCCATTGTGCACCTCCTATTTTACTTTTTGATCTGACATATATTTTTGATTTTCTAGAGCAAAACATGGACACTGCCATTATATTCATATGGGAGGCGGGGGTATCATTTAGTGAGTTCATTGCTCACAGTACCTCTAGTTTAATTTGAGTTTTGATCTAATAATAACCAATTCATCTATGTTCCTATGTTTACTATATGCCATTATGGAACCATAGGAGTTGTTGTAAATATGTCATCATATTCATAAATATAATTCAGTTGTATTTTTTCATGCCTTCATTTACGGGTTAAACTTCGTGACTATGACATTGTTATACCCCCCACTTGAAAAGTGGGAGGGTATATAGTAATCGGTATGTCCGTCCGTCCGTCTGTTATGCTTTGGGGTACCCATCTCTTATCCGCAACTCCTCTCATACCACTGAAGGAAATTTAATGAAACTGTCACAGATTCTCAATTACATATTGCCATTGTGCACCTCCTATTTTACTTTTTGATCTGACATATATTTTGAATTTTCCAGCGCAAATTATGAACACTGCCATTATATTCATATGGGAGGCGGGGGGTATCATTTAGTGAGCTCATTGCTCACAGTACCCCTAGTTTTATATAGCATTTTTATCATTTGTAGATTCCGTTTGGTTCATTTAAATATTGTTTAAATACTCTTTCCAAATAGTTTTGAAATCATGATTCAGCTTCCTGAGACGTCCAGTGTCATTTTCTTTAATTAGGCCCTTGAAGATTGGTTGTTTCGATTCTTTGCTTTTAATCCTTTTGTTGGGACAACATTTGAACATTTCCCCATTGCTCCAAATTTAGACGTACTACGCATTAAGCAGTGGGATCTCTTTTGAGACATCTTCTGCGACACTGGCCAAAAGTTTTTATAGTCCCTTTTGAAGGACCGTTTTCAACGTTCTTCATTGGTATTTAAACCTGCGACTTAAATTAGACACTTACGTCCTAACTCCAAAGCAATATGCTCTAGAACCACTGCAAATCTAATGGCCGTCAGAAAAGTACAATGACTATCTATAAGCACTGGAGGGTGATTAAAGTTTTGAAAAAATATACTCCGATGTCCAGTCTTTGCCTATTTGAGAATCTTGTCTTTTTTTATTCGATTTATATAAATGTACTCTGGCATGAGATATTTCAAAAGTTCATCTAAATTACAGTTGTGAATAAATTAATCATGAATTTTGCTTTTAAACGGCATATGTATGATACTCAGCAATCTGTTCACAAATCACTTTCTTTTGTACTTTTCTTATTTATAAATGTAATTTTCCATTAAATTTTAGAATATATTTTCAAAGCTGCTGTCAGAAAATAAAATTGTTTACCTACCTACCGACCCAACTTGAGAATCTAGGGTCGGGTTAGGGGAAACAAAGATATTTTTAATTCTGGCCTGATGTATTTCAGGTGTTCATTATTTACCTTAGCTGTTTCTGTTTTTGTGATGTATTTCAGGTGTTCATTATTTGTAGTCAGAACATGCCTCTCTTTCTTTTTATGGGCCTTCTAAATAAAAAGAAGAAATATCAAAATTATCACTGAAGTATGTTTATAATTATATAAAGTGAAATGGTATATCCTTCTGCATCTCTGGGTAGATTTCGGATCGGAAACCCTTGGCTAGCAAAGAAGATCCTTCTGCTAAAAAAAACATATCAACACATGAAAACAAGAATTGTCTTTCTCTGTCATTGTAGTAATGTGTCCTTCCCAAAATCTTAGCAATTCTCCCCAGTCTAAGTTCTGATAAAACTGCATAGACTATATGATAGAGCTACCACGAAATGTGGGCTGCATACAAGATCATAGTGGATAACCTAGTACATATTATATGGTAGACATCTAGCTCTATTGAACAGCTCGCCTAGCTACTAAATGTTAAAGTTTGGATATAAATTTCGTTTTAAAAAGTAATTTTTGGAACAAAATGTGAGCTGAACTCAGGTGAAGATGTACATTTAAAATTAATTTCCTAGACTTCTTTCGACTTTTCATAAGGAGAATATAACCCCACTTTTCGGAAATCCTACGGGCAAGTCTAATATTATGTTTCTAGTGATAATGAACTAACTACAGTGTGATTTGTAATGTTAAGAGTCAGCTACAGTGTAGCTTAGTTAGATACTTATAGTAGCTAGTCTACGTTTATTCCTGATAACCATACATAGTACATGAACCTAACTATACTACAGTTACTGATTCTGGATTTTAACTATTACTTACACTCTTCTTCTTCTGAAAATGTAACATTTTACTCATAAAAAAGTTTATGTGATAAGAATGGTTACAAGGATGACTTCATATGAATGCATTCTCTGTTATTTATATCATTTGCTTTCTAAGCATGGTTGACTATGCATCAACCCAGACTTTGTTGATGTTTAAAGTAACAAGATGAAGAAGTGAGACTGACCTTGTTTGCCTTGGCGACCTCCATGATTTCGACTCTCGGGGATTTGACTGGAGAGTTAGTGTTCCTGTCCTGGAACTTGGTGACCGACGTCGCGATGGCTGCCACTTTTTTGGAGTAGAAGCGGTCCTCCACTGGCCGATTATTCAGGTCGTCCATTACTTGTATGTATCTCTGTGTGTCAGAATAAAGACTGCTGTTATCAGAATTCAACACAATTCACATCCATACTTCAACTGATAACAGGAAATTAATAAGTTACAAGATGAAGCAAGTATGCAAAAAATCAAATGTAAGATTAAAATTTATGATGACATAATGACAAAAACTGATTTTTCATCACAACACATTGGCATTTCTATAGCACTCCATCCCATTAAGCCAGTGAGAGGCATATCACCAACTTTTACATCACAAAAGCAAAAACATGATTCACAGCAAAAACTTGAAACAAACAATCCTTATCACAAGTATGATAGTGTTTCACATACATGTTGTAAATCATAAAATGCTGATCAAATGACCTTAGATCAAGTACACATAATAAACTTTACTATGATTAAAAGTTATGACCAATTAAAAATATTGTTTGCTAACTTTTAATATTTAATTTTACTTGTAATGTAATTACATGTATCAAACTCAGGTTAATATCCAAATCAAAGTACTCAGAAGTACAGAGAGCCGGGCTCATTTAGAGAGTAGAATGGATTTCTTACATGAATCATGTTTATATTCTGATGAAAAAATTATTTTAAAACTATCAATATAAATGATAAGACACTGACAGTGAGCTTTTCAATCCTATTACCACGATCCGATTTTGTCAGAATCAGAATTAATCTGGTACCGCAGCTGAATGTAAACAAACAGGCCAGTCTGATTCCCTCTCCTGCTTTACCTCGTATGTGTAGAGAACTACGGTAACACTGATTATAAAAATCCTTACGCTAATGAACTTATGAAGTTTTCAAAGTCATTACTACAAATGTTTATTTTATATAGATAAAACTTCGTTTTATTTTTGTTGCTTTATTTAGCGTTTGTATTATCTCAAAAGCGGTTGAGAGTAGGAACTATATTTTTGCACGTAACTTTAAAATGGCGACTATTGGGTTAACATCCTGCCTTGAACAGGATCACATAAGCTGGCAATTGCTCTTTGAGCAATAAGCCCGGCTAAAAATGGCAAACTGATTTTAAGAACATGCTTCACTAAGTCGCATTCCCTAGGTACATATATTTGGATTTGTGTACATTGAATGTATGTATGTGGTGAATAGATTTCATGATCACTGTAAACAAATGTTCCTTTGTGGTGAATTAAACTTGAGATTTCGCTTAATTCATGTTCAGTAATCGAAATTCTTTAATTTATAACTGTTACAGCTACAAGCCTGTACTCTTATATAATAGACACAAAAAGTTACCATTAATTCACATGTATAATAAAAAAAAAATGCAGGTTTACAATATATTACTCAATCTAATCTATATTCCATTTATACTAACAACTAAGTAACCTTTGGTAAAAATGGTAATAGTTTGAAGTTTGGTGAGAATATTGTAGACATATTTTAAGTAAGTGAAAGCTTATATATTCTCTGAGTGTATCATTTCTAAGTACTAGTTCTATTTTCTGTTCCTGTCTGGAGAATTCTGGGGGATTTTCTAGTCATCTCTCTATTTCGTGCTGGGAATTATTTTTTCTAAAGAAGAGAGAGCATGCTCTAATTTAGTGCAGTTTGTCACCTTGTAAATCTTATAACTCTGAAAAATTCACAGACAAAATAAAGAACATCTGAATGAATGGTACAAGAAAATTTGAAGTGTGTAATCATGATTTAGTGAAATGCAAGTTAATACTCTATATTATTCTACAATTAGTGCAATTCTAAATAGAACTAATCAATTATTATTACCGTTAGTTACTGTATATGATATCTCCTGCATGTACATAAATGCAGGGTACTTGCACACATACATGAGCATATTTAATATCAATGGTTGTCAGAAAAATATTGACACTTAAAAACTGAAGACGTCATAATCAGACTGCAGATATCATGACACATTTATTTCTTATATACACAAACATGCACAACATCAGTGTTAAATATGACTTTGTTCAAATTAACTTCATCTTTGTTTTGCACATGCTCTTATAAACACGACATCAGTGTTAAACATGAGTTTGTTCAGATTAATTGAATCTTTGGCATGCTCTTATTTCAATCATCTTTACAAGTTAAGCAGATTGGATTGATCCAAAATTTAAGGCAGATTACTGAATACTTCAAAAAGTTTGTTAATTCTTCTATATTCTTAGGTACACAGATTTAAATGCCAAATGTATCATTAAGAAGTTTTTTTAACATTATTTTAATCTTGTGAATCTAAATCCTGTACAGAAGAGGTGCACAGCTGAAAGAACAATGGAGTTTGTTTTCTTAAAACACACAAGATCTGCTTTTAAATGTCCCAAACTCTGCTTAACTTTACAACAAAATTCACCACAGTCCGTTAATTACCTCATGGGCAGTGCGAGAGTCCAGCTAGGTGACAAAATTCAGTGATCATTAGAACATGTACAATTAATACTGTCAACGCAAGATTATTAAAGACTCCCTCAGGTATAAAACTGACAACTTTCTCCCTCTATTAGAAAACTATTCATTTTAAATTAGTTTCATTTCATTAGCTAATTACTAGCTTGCACAACCTCACTTGTAATTGCTGCAAATGTTAGCCCCATAAAATTACACCTGACCTATTAAATTCCTTTTACCTAATTAAATGAAATACACTAAGGTTAAGAACTATTAAATTTCCATAACCTTTGCACTAATTAATTTTTTATACAATGTAAAACCAAATTTTTTGTTTGGTCATTTTGTTTTTATTTTTTATTAGTAAAACAGATATTGCTTTTTCAGAGGACTGATTAGAGTTACCTCCTCCTGTTTTTTCCGCCTCTTCTCCTGCACCTCGTCGTCATGGGAATCAGATTTGGAGACTTTCTTTGAACTCTTCTTCTTCTTGTTTTCTTTATCCTGTCAAAAAAATAATGGATTCTCTGACAATCAGAACCAAGGGTCAAAACTTACAAGCAATTATTTCAAAGAGTACATCATTTACAAATAACTAAGGAAAAGGCAATATTTCAATACAAATTATTTCAAGTTGCAAAACACTGACGTTCAGAGGCTTCAATGACAGCATGAAATACATGGAAATGCTAGGGAGATTAAATATTTCTGACACTCTTATTTAATTTTCAGCTTAAAAATTCTGCATTTATATTTTATGAATTGAACTTGTGTATTACAGTGTAATGTAACCATGTAAGATAATGCATATTTCATGCATATTTTAACAAATAATATTCATTTATGTAAATAATGTTCTCATTTAGTTAAGAACTTAATTAACTAAAATTCTGTTTTAAAAAAAAACTAGATAATAATAGTGGGGGAATGTTATATCTTTTAAACTACTATTTTTAGACATCACTATTGTAAACTGTTAAGTACTATATGTACTGATTCAGTTAAAGAAAAAATGTACTTGGCAATCTTTGCATTAAGGGCAACTGTGCCAACAAATTTGGGATTAACTTCTTAATCCTCTCACTGCATTTCTATTGATCAAAATCTACCGAGGAATTGCTAAGCCTGTGTGGTTAATACAGTGTAGGTATTTCACCCAGATTAGGTTTGGGGGCTGTATGTTTATACCTAGCCCTTTGAATTGTGTATTAATTAGATTACCTATATCCTCATCAGGTCTCTTACCTGTTACGACAATCAATCTAACTAAAAATGACTATTAACATTGTCCTTGATTATTCAGCACAAAAATAATGAAAACTATTTTCAAACAATTAATACATGTACTGTAAAAATAATGTAATAAACTACATGCTGAAAGAACAGGTCAGGTTCTGATGAAGATACAAATAGCAGGGTTTTCAAAAATTTGGAAATTTTAAGTAAATATATTATCATTTTTTTCCCCCATCAAATATTTAAGCTGGTACAATGATGACCTAAGCCAGTTAAAGTACCATGTAACAGCAGATATTGAAAGGCCTGTAACAATCACCTCAAATTTACAAAATATATGGCCCTCACACCCATTTATAAATAACATCTATTCCTCAACAAAGCATTAGCTATTGAGTGGAGTCCTAAGTGTTTTAACAATTCTCTAAGCTATCAGTATTTACATATATCATATCTATAATGCTGCAAGAATGGGAAATAAAAAATCAAAATACGTACAAGTGTTGTCCTTGCATTTATATATATCCCAGAGATATACAAATCTTTAGCTATGCATTAACAGTATAAACTGACCCTGGGATCTTGTTCCTCTCCGTACTCATCTAGGACGAGGGGGAAGTTTGACCGGGAGTGACATCGGTCCGAGTACGCGCTCTGAATACGAGATATGTCCACTCTCTGAGACTGGGAAGTGGTGGGAATTTCTGAGCCTCGATCATCTTTTAATATCTCATCCTGTCCAATTGAAATGCATTTTCTCATTATAATATTTTACACTCTAAATTACAAAAAGATTCACAACTTATTTTTATAAGGAATTATTCTTGTAAATTTATGTATTTCATTTACAATGTACAAATAAATCAATAAGTATATATATATATATTGACAAAATTTGATTATATTTAGTAATGATACATTCAAAAAAAACATTGGAAAAAAAAAAGTCTGTTGAACAAGTCAATATATTGAATGCAAATAAACTGCACAAAAGGCACTTTGGTTAAATGCCAAAGAAATAAAAATATTCATAAATCAACAACTTTTACAGCTTTGTTTGTAGTATGACGAAACCAATTGCAAAAGGAAACTACCTTCTGAAAGCAGAAAGTTTTGTACAAGAAGTGTAGTTTGTAGTTGAGATATTATGTCTAGATATTATTTGAGCTATGCATAAGAAATAAATGAAATAGAAAATTATTGATAATTCTTTAAGTTAGTCAAAAGTCAGAGAGAGAGAGCAGTCTTATGGAAATCTTTGAATCCTAGTTTAAAAAAAAAATTCTCAGGATCAAAGTTGGGTCCTTTGTGGTTACTGAACTATCAAAAATGCTTTACGATTTATTCAGCAAGCATTCATAAACTCATATGATTCCAACTTTGGAATATTTTTTACTTGTTTATCTTTATTCTTGTTGATAAAAAACAAATGCTTCATCATTTGTCTTTGCTAGTATTCATTTTGAAATAAAGTTCCTTGCTAATTTAATTTTTATTATGGATGAATTGTTTGAGTTTTAAAAAAGTTCAAATTAATCCTCATGTACTGTTACATATTTACTTGTTGCAACCACAGAAACACAATTTCTCATAAATATTTTAAGCATTTTAATATCTACTTTCAAAACAATCCGAGAATTGATGCTTACACACCTGTGTTAGAACTTAGATATGCTAAATCAATGCCCAATAAATATTATAAAAAATATTCAACTTAAAACTCTACACAAATAGTTAAAATTATTCTTTTATTACCTTACGTCCCTTCTTTTTTCTCTTTCATAAAAAACAAAAAAGCTTTAAGCAATGTGTAAATAAAATGCCATGACATTTTAAGAAAAGAGAATGTGTAACCACTGAGTAAATTCGAACTGTACAAAATTCCCTATCTATTTAGATATACTTATTTATCGACAATTTCATTTTGAACAGACGTAAGAAATACAAAAGTATGACATACATCAGAGCTCTCATCTCTAATTTCCCGCTCTATATCAGGGGTTGTGATCTTAACTTGCTTTTTAACAGACGGCTCGTCCGCCATCCTGCGTTTGTTGTCGTCTTGGTTGCCGCCGCCTCGTTCCGATTTGCATGAAACTTCGAACCCGACGATAATGCACACAAAACACATGTTGGACCAAAATCATAACATTGACACAGATCATTAGATATTTATAATAAATATTGAATGATGTTGTACAACAATTTTTAAATATATATAAATATGAATTTTTGGTGAAAATATATGAATGGCGTGTCAGATTAGTGAGGTGATTGAAGAGCTTATAACATTTTGAAAAAAATCTTTTTTTAATTAATTAATAAATTAATAATTTTAGTTAATTAATTGATTTTATATATCTATTTATTTTACTCTTATTCATTTATTTATGGATTTTACTTTTATTTATTTATTTACTCTCTGATTGATTTATGTAAAAAATTTTAAAAAAAAAGAAAAAAATATTGTCCAGCATTAAAAACGAAAAAGTCATAAAAATAAAACATATATTTGCTTATCTTGCCCGATTATGAAATGCTCCCAAATTATTTTATTTTTTTATTATTAAAATTAAATTCCTGATAATAATATACTTAATGTTTTCCAATTAAATTGTCGAAAATCACTGATCTGCATAAATTTCCCGTAGGAAGATACCGTAAGCTAAACCGTGCCACGACAATTATCAGAGAACACGCGTTATTGTCCGGCGCACTCGTCTATTTACACCTGAAAGTGACAAAAACTTTGCGTTCATGGTTTCCACAGGGAAACAATTCACGTGCCAAAAATAGAGTGATGCGATTGGTCAATAGTATTTTCAAGTGTACATATAAATAATGAATACAAACAAAATTTTATCAAAAACAATTTTTCATTTGCACAACACAAAGTATCAGAACATGGAAACTTTCCCAAATTTTCCAGATATCCTGCAAGATCCCAACTTGACAAGAAACGAATCAAATTTTATGTCTGAAACAGAACAAAATCCAAATAATGATACAAAGGGTATGTTGAGTATATTTACGCATCGGTCATCCACATAAGTACAAAAACAATGTGCAAAACTAAAGAATCTTTTAAAATATTGTCACCAAAATTTAGTACCGATTTGCATGTTGGTTTAAAAATTAGAAGCCAGCAAGCAATTGATCATAGATAAATGTTAGGATTTACCACTATCTAAGAGGTCATTATACAGATATTGAGTAATATTAAAAAGAATATCAGTAAGGAAATTAAAGCCATAAAAGGAAAAGAGAATCGCTTGAATTAAATCTTATTGTAATGTCTGTGGATATCTATTTTATCAGGTTTTCATGGCGTTAACCAGCTCGGTGGAACATTTATCAATGGACGTCCACTGCCTGAGAGCGTCCGCCAAATGATATTGAAGTTGCACCATGATGGCGTCAAGTCCTGCGAAATTTCCCGGATTACCAAGGTCTCTCACGGATGTGTGAGCAAGCTCCTCAACAGATACCAAAATACCGGATCTATAGCGCCCTCTATCGCCGGCGGATCCAAACCAAAAGTATCGACAGACGCCGTGGTGGACATGGTTGTTAAATACAAGACAGAAAACCCAGAGATGTTTGCCCGGGAAATAAGACGGCTACTCATCCAAAACGCCGTCTGCTCTGAGGATAATGTACCAAGTGTCAGCTCTATCAACAGAATTTTACGACGAAACGACCTAGGGACGAAATCTCTTCCAATGGGATCAAATATGGTGGAGAGATTTAGTGCATTGTCAGGAATGAATAACTTCAAAGGCAATGAAATTATGGTCAAAAGAATTGCAGCATTCCAGGTACAAGACCTAGGGGTTTCCCCGTGGCAACTAGGAGGGCACACTCAGCAGTCCTTAAAGCGGAAACACGAGGAAGAAGACGCCACTAATCCTGCAAAGGTCCAGCGAACCGAAACCAGTATTCTTGGAATCACCAATCAACCAATATCTACAGAAATGAATAAACCCAACATAGAGAACCCCTCCACTGAGTCAGTGCAACAGAAAAGGCCCTGTGGCACCCTAAAAAACCCCGTCCCAATTCAACCAAAACCTTCCAAAATCCAAGTAGATACTTCCGCGGCGTCTGACTTTCATCATTTTAAACCTGGCCAGCTTATTTCTTTCGTGTCACAGAGTGGAACAGCAGTTTCACGAAGACTCCAGGGAACAGAGAAAGCACAGTCTGATGGTCGGCAAAATAGGATCCATGGTGCAGAGATGCTAATCCAGAACACAGTGACAAGTCAACATGTTTCTCCCCTAGTACAAAACTCAATATCATCGATATCATCGACTAACACTTTAGGGTTGGCATCAGTCCAAACCCCACCAAATAACGATCTTTCTGTATCATCAAATGATCACAATGACAACACAAATTCCTCAGGTAACAGAAACCAAGAACCAGGATGTTTCCAGCCCTTTTCCTTCGTGGATCCAACTTTTGGTTTAATTAGCGTGTCCCCAGCACCACCTGAGATGCTTTCTTTTTTAGGACTGAAGAAATATCAACAAACAGGAGACTCCTTGCAAAAAAGGACAAATGGTAAAATTTTAAATACTGATTGCACAGCCATCCTTGAGAAGAATAATAAACGTATTCCAGAAACACATAATCCAGCTCTTCTTGAGAAGACTGATACAGCTATCCATGAGGCGACTGGTGTACCTATTCCCGAGACAAGTAATACAACTAACTTTGCAAGCAACGGAAATAGTGCTCAGTGCATCTTTGTTGAAAACCAGATTGTTAATCATGAAAAGGTCACTGAAAAATGTTCACCAATTCAGATCTTTGAGAGTACCTCCTTCCTCCAGCAGCTGAATTGTTCACTAGAAGCAGAGCACTGTTCTCCCTCTGTGTGTGACGACAGGGATTACGCCGTAGAAGAGTCCTTCCAGCGTGACCTTGACGCCTTCTCCATTGACCTTGGTACGACCTCTGAGTCTGACCTGTCCAGTGACCACGACTCAATCTTGGATTCCTTCTATCGATCTCCTCCTACTATTACTGGTGGACCTCAAGGTGAACTTATCCACAGGAAAGAGTTATTTCCCGTTTGTTAGTAGTTGTCTACTTTTTTTCAGAATCAAGATGGTGCTTTTCAATTGAAATTTGATGTTCAGATTTTATTGCAATAAAATACCGGTAAAACATTAAATTTTCTTAGTTAATAGTTTTAATTCGAATTTACAACTGTCTGTTAGTATATCAATGCTTCTTAATTACCAGTATCCTCTCGCAGCGGAGCTGGACAGGATATAAAGGGATGCTTTTGTGTGAGGGGGGGGGGGGTCCTTTTGTAAAACGGAATTGACGTGATTATCATAGGAAGCGATGTTGAATGCTGCCATGATTTATATATATATGCTCTTAGTGAGGGGATGTTCTGCATTGCGGTGTCCTCATTGTAAAATATGTTTTCGTGAATGATTACATTTCACAAAATTTCACGACACAGTTTCCACTTTTTTTTCATATTTAATTATAATATACACGGTACAAGGGATTTAAAGATTTAAAAGACTACCAGTAATTTTGTACAAGGATGGAAGGTACTCGCAGTAGTCTTACTGAGAGTCTAATCCATGAAATTGACAAGTCATATAATACGAGGGTTGTTTTATAAATGACAAAGTAATTACATTGAGTTCAACTGTTCATGAAAAGCTTGAATTTTAATTTTTTCCTTGAGAATAGTTGCACACACGTGTTTAAAACTAAACAGTCGTAACTTAATGATTTTTGTAAACTTTTATCATTTCAAAGTTCAGTGAAATTTTAAAGCATTTATTTATAAGTATCCGCACCTGAATTACACCACTTCTCAAATATATTATTATAATATGAATGATATAATAAAAAGAAATGAAGCTTGAATTTCTGATTAATGCAATACGAGGGCTGTTCAATAAATAATGTCCTGAACTCTATGACATACAATATAGAAATCATATGACATTAAACTTGACTTTCTCTCATGATTGAATCTTTATTGAATTGATTACAGTTAATGTGACCACTTTTCATCACATAGTGTCATTGTGAGAAGCTAGAAAACAAGGGCTATTCGAGACATTGCATTAAAATGAATGGCAGAGAATCAGTAAAGTAGAATGACATTAAACACTTAATTAAAGCTGCTGTAAAACTTGTTAAGAATCCCAAAGAAATATTTACTGAAATATATGAAATTTACAACATCCAATGTCTGTTTTATTGACACCTGAGCAGGTTGATTTCAATGAACAAAAATGATGTAATAGGCATAAAATATGGGTACCTCCTTGGCGAAAAGGACTGTTTGCCAAAACTCAACAAATTATTACTGATGATATTTGTTTGACTTTATAACACATAGCAAATTTCATAGGCATCATTTTGGGGGTAGATCACATTGTTTTAAAGAAACAGTTGACAGTAAAAAGATTGGTACTCAATGGTCACCCTATGTTTTGAAAAATGAATGAAAACAACAGCATGTAAGAATATCTAATCAAGTATTTTAAAAAGTCAGAACTTGTAGTTTTCCACCCTTGTCTGAATTTCAAACAGATAATGAAACTTGAATCCATTGCTTTAAACCCTCAAAACAAATGAAAAATAAGATGCACTTGACAAAAAACTGCTATGGTTTGAGAAGAGCAAAGAATTGCAAGAGAAGAAAAAGTTTTATATGCCATTTTCTTAAATATTAGAGGTCTTGTTGTTTAAATTCTTATTTTGGGAGACAGTTCAATTTCTTGAGGTGTCAAGAAAGACAGATTTTTGCCAAACACTGAAAGGGCTATGAGGAAGGACCCAGAATCAGGAATCCCCTGCATTAAATTTCTTCATGACAGCGTCCAAAAACACACGCCCTGAAGAGTAAAGAACTTTGGGGATAAACAGAACGTTAATGTTTTGTCAAACCAACAAAATTCGCCAGATCTTTCACCCTATGACTTGTTTCATTTTTCAAACTTAGAAAAAAAACACTTTTCAGAAAGAAGAAACAAGTCCAGGAAATCATCGATCTGCCATATTCCAGTATACGAAGGGCCATACCCAAAAATGTGTTCTAAAACAATCAGAAATTGGATAAAAATGTTTCGGGCATATGTTTTAATTAAGGGAGAATATTTAAGTTATATCATTAAGACTAAATCATTGAAAAGCGTTCACTTCTTTGTTTCTTTCCTAGCACCGAGGACATTATTTATTGAACAGCCCTCGTATCTATGTGGTTTTGCAAAAGGAGGTTTTCCAACAATGTGTCTGAAGTTTCATAGGTATCAACTGCGCCCTGTTATCAACAAACCTTTTTTTGTATTGAAATGAAGCAGACTTTATGTAGAATCTTAAACAAAAGAAAGAGAAAACAGTCGCTGCGTCTTTTAACTCGACATTTGAGTATATCCACTACGTATTATTAATAACAACAGATTAGTTCTATTCATATGACTTCACGACATATCCCAGTGAGCTTGATACGACAAAGTCTGACACATATGTTTCTTATTGAGATATTTTACTAGACAAAAGATCTCAATGGTAACCTTACAACAAAACTTTATAATACATGTGATACTAGTGAAATTTTATGTTAAATGATCTTCACATCACCTGGCGAAATCTTCAACAAACTTTATAATAATAATCATGTAATGATGCCTCCAATTGAAGGATAGTGGTTCCTTGTATTTTGACCCTTTTTAAAATTTTTGATGTATCCATTTTTAACTATATTTACGTCACCAGTAATGACGTGTCCAGTAAGACTATAGCTGTAGGGCGAAGAAGAATTTGGACACTAAGGAGGATTATATCTCCAAAGATTCATATCTAGACACTGTAGGGTTGAAAAGCTGAATTCAACTCCTTTTTATAGTTCATTCATTAGTATGTCATTAACGTCTTTATTTAGTAAAACACACAGAGACTTAATGCCTCACTAATTTCTCCCTTTATTACCTTTCAGAATTTAAAGTAAAATGAGCTGCAACTTTGAAGTCAAAATTTTCTGTTACAAATTGCGGATAACTATTTCAAGGACAGAAAAAAAGAACATTTATAAACGGTTGTTCATATTTGTAATAGAGGAACTATTTACAAGCCCTCATTGATGCAAAATTAAATTGCTGTTTTGTTTGTTTTGAATAAATTTTATTGATTTAATAAAAAAAATTGGAAACAAGATATGTAAAACTTACAAAGTTACTCTCCTTAAATTGTTGTCGTCATGTGCAATATTGTTTTCTTACACGGTATAATACGCAATATTTATTTGTAGGGGAGACTTTCTTTTGAAACATTTTAATACTTTATTTTAGTCTAAATCAGAAAGGTTTGAATTATTTACAAATTTTTGAAAATGACACATTTTAATAGCAAAATAAAATTCTCAACAATGCAGCTCATATTGCTATATATTTTTTTGATAACGTTTTATTGATTGTCAAATATTTACAGTTATTATGTAAAATAAATACACTGAGAATAGTTTGAATACATTGAAATCAGTACGCTGTGTCTATCGGGTGCAATATACACAATATACCTCTTACTGAGCGAAAGTGAAAAACAATACGCCAAATGGGTGTAATGTTGAGGGCACTGAGGCGAAAAAGGCTATCTAAATTATCCATAAATGATCCATAAATATCTTGTTGTTTCTAAATACGTCATGCACATAACCTAAGGAGGTAAATTAGTGATCAGAAATATATTTACTTCCATTAAGTGTACTCCCTACTCTTGCTTTATTTGATAGTACCACCGGGTAAAAGTACAGAAAAACGATAGAATGAATACCCCGAGTTCATTAAAACACACATTTAAATACAAGGAGCAATTCGGGATGTTTGTATAAATTCGTTGTTCATTCTCCTGCGTATTTAAGTGTATAAGAGGTTTACCGGTGAAATCGGAAAAAAATATCATTGATTAATGTACTTGCCATAGGAATATTAAGTGAGGAGTGCAAAAATTACTCATAAAATAATTAAATACCAAATTCTTTATCAATAAATTTATTTTATATACCTATGAGCAAGTTACAAAGAAATGCATACAAAAAGTCAGCACTTTTTGTGGTACTACAATGGGACTATATATAGCTAAAGTCTGCAGATCATTTTCCAAGCTTCCGCATAGGATAAGGACAGATATCTCTGCTGTTAACTGCTTTATACTCTACACAGTTCATATATTTTCTCTGTAGGTCTTTTTTCTTTTCAGTATTGTCTTTACACAGCTCTCAATCAGCTACACCATCCCATAATTAAAGCTTCTATCTCTTGGCGGCTAGATTCGGTTCTCTACGACTGGCACTGAGAACCTATTGACCCGTGAGGAGAGTCGCGATTAAACATTCGGAATGTCTCTGAATCCTCACACATCCTCCTCCTGGTCAGAGAAATCTGAGGAGAAATCGTCACTCTGAGAGAGCTTCCACAGTTTGACGTTCGTCATCAGGATTCCGTAGTATTGACTCTTAGAAAGCTCAGCCTCGTTTTCAGGTAGCGTCATTGCAACTGTCGGCAGTGGGCGGGAAGTGGTAGAAGCGCAGCTCTCGTCTTCAGAAATAACAGAACTGAGACTGTTGTTGGAATCTGATAAAACAGAATTTATTCTGGACTTCTCTGTAAAAGTTGTTTGTGATTTTCTGTTAAGGTTTTGTTTCTTTTGGGTTTTATTCATTTCGTTAAGAGTATTGTTGATGCCTAACAGTTGCCTCATAATGGCGACATCCTGGTATCTTAGCTCTCTCTGTGAAAATAAAAAAAAGCAATGTTAATTCCAAAACCTCCACTTAGTCTAAAAAAATTGTGTTTGTAAGAAATGAAAACTCTTAAAGAAAATAAGTAAACTTACCAATTCATTTCGGAGAGAAGCCAAGGCAAAATTTATTCGTTCCGTTGCCATTGCTTTTTTGTCTGTCTTTTTACAAAAGAAATATGCACTCAGTAAGGAAGCAAGTTTCAAACTGAGGAACTGTACATTTCATTCTGTATATATATAGTATACCAGGTATGGACGGGTCTTAACGATTTCTCGCTCCATTGGGTCCCCACACGCACAGATATCTCACCGAGTGCACAATGAACCACCGCGGGGAGATCAACTTTCCCCGAGTATTGTCCGTGTCACCCAGAGCCGTGACAATGTCGTAACAACTGTCGCGCCGCCAAATGAAAGCAATCACTCGATAAAAAGCTCTCCCAAATAGTTTTTTATGTTTAATATTAAATAAATCCTAATCAAGTTGTGACAATGTAGCGACATTTTATTGCAAATTTAAAACTCAATTCTATGTTCCACTTAAGGCCTTATTGCTTCGTTGGGGCCAATATCTTGAAAGGTTTGCACTCTTTAATAGGGAGAATAGTAACAGGAATTAAGTCAACAATAATATAAAAAGTATTCGTGTGATAACTTAGGCTTGGTTAGATAATGCAAAATACAATAGGGCACGAATTTCAACTTACAATGAAAAGCCTCCTTGAGTTTTATTAAAAACTAGCATTTTAATTTCATGAAATCGATTAGTTTAAAAAGACAAACGGATAAAGTGGCAGGATTGGAAGATTCAAGGTATTTTATTAAAAAGGATTTTATTAATAACATGATTACTAATAACATAAAGTAAGTTAATTATAAATTGTTTATGTAGATGCGGGAAGACCTTATTACATGTATTGTTAATTTAAGCATTTGTTCAATAACAAATTTTAAAAAGACTATGCATCACAGTATGAGCAATATTATTTAGCAGAAAATGAACATTTTCCACAGTTCACTGGACATATATAATGTAGTTTCTTCTGCCTGTCGTGCTTATAAGTACTTTGACGTCCAGCATCATGCCTTATAAAATCTGACGTCACTGACTACATGGACTATGCAGACGATAAAGCTATCAATTATCATTTCCGCGGGTAATATTACTGTCGTAGTTCTCCTTTACTCTCAAAAGTAAAGCTACCTTTCATCTGCTTCACGATCTAATGTCAAAATGAATGTTAAATTATCCTACCGATATATACTTCCGAGGACATTTTGTTGTGAAATTTAACGAATAAAATACAGTCTGATAGGAACTTTGTAAAACGAAGTATGTGTATTAGATATCAGTAATTCACCATTATTCTGCAGGGAATTCCTACCCCTCTTAGGCGCCTGGTCCCACCTCTTCAATGTCCGGGGACAGTGTTTTTATATCCTGCACATATTTTTGTTTTGTTTGTTGGTTTTATGAGATCTTCATCATTTTTCATCAAGAGTGCAAGGAAGAAGAGCTGATAACTAAGACGGAATTGATTTGAGTAGCAGAGGTTGTATGTTCGAAATAAATACTTGTAAATTTTTTAAGTAGATAATTTTCATTCCAATACAGTGCTACCTAAAGAATTTTAATTTTAGATGCGATATTTTTAATGAAAAATTAATACAAAATATGATATTTTTTGCAAAATATGATTGAAAAATATCTAAAAATTATACCCCCATATAAACTGCAAAATAATACCGTGTGGTTTTTAAGAGTTAGATCTTCATTACTGATTACATGCACTCATAAATGTAGAAAGCTGTCGTGTCTTTTGTTTAAGATAAGAAGTAAAGAAATGAATTGTGGAGACAGTGTTGTGAAACTTGAGCCTCCATGTGGGTAACAGCAAAACAAACCCCTATAAAGTGCATGTGGTTCGAACAAGCACCCAATGTTATGGTCATACCTCATACACGAAATTCCTAAGAGGAGATCATTGGTGCAGCACATCAGGGAATTTTTCATCGACTGACATGAGATAACCTGATATCAGGTTCTAATTTCTGCATATGATAAATTTCTTTGATCTTCTTAAAAAATGAATTGTATTATAAGATAAAACTTGATTAAATTGATGGGGGTATCGATCAGATATATATTTTATTTCAATAACGAAGTACTTTTTAAAAAAAAAAGGAATTTTCTATGATTTCTGTCTGAACTATGCGTAAATCTATAAAATGCTTGAAAAAAAAGAATACTCCCTAGTAGTCGAAGGAGATGATCTCTGGATATAACGAACAATATTTAATTAGCTCAAAGTCTATTAACAATACAAAATTGGAGTAGAGCAAAGACGAGTCCCAAAAACAAAATCAGAGGCGGGATCATGTTCCACAGAGGAGTGAGCATCCATTGTCGTGTGCTCTTTGCCGTGATCGGAAAATAACTGAAAAATCCGTCAACAATTCATTATATATATAATGGTCTAACAATTAGCATGAAAATTGTCAGTCAGCATGAAGTAAAAATTTAGACATTTGTTTTGAATTAAGTAGGCCTAAATATAAACAAACTCGACTACTTTTTCAGATAAATCACTTATCGTTCTCCTCACCTTTTTCGTTTTTTGAATCGTTAAATACATTAGAATATACTTAAATTTGATATATGTTGATTCAAAATTGATTATGACACCGGTGAATTGAACTTCTTAATAATATTTCTCAATGGATGTCTATGATGTTTACACATTGAAGTAATAAGGCAAAAATTTAAAAACCATGTTTTATTCGATTCAAAAAATTCATGAACATACAACTCAACACAAACATTATCAATCTCAAAGTACAATATAGTATTTGTACTAAACTTTGTACTGTTCCGATCTTTCAACTGCAGTAAGTGCCCGAATAATGTACCTTTCCACAACTTTCATGAGAGTTATTTCATCTTTACGCTGAAAACCCCCTTTTTGGCACTTTATGTTTGAACCTAACGAATCAGCACTGCCTTGCAATCTTGTCTTTTTAAGACCCGTGTTGGTGTTCGGGAATTTTCCAAAAATTGCAACAGCTGTGTTCAAAGCTCTAAAAACTTTAAACAGGATGAGATCTAGTCCGAGTCAGTGTCAGAGGATGAGAGATCTGCAGCATCAGAGACAGACATGTCCTCTATAGATCTGGTAAGGTCTGTAAAATAACGAATGGGATATGAACATTAAGTAATAGAGCTCTAAATTCAAAAGTAGATATAAATTTTAAAATAGCAAACATGGACGTCTAACACCATCAGAGGTGGGATCAGGGGCAATGGAGGGGTTAATAAGAATAATAAGAGATAAGATCATAACACTTCTGTTAAAATGTTTCGTACAAACGTTTAAGGGGTAAAATAATTTTTACTCAGGGTCCTGAAATTTGCAGGGATATTAAAATTTTCCACGCTGTATGAATTGTGCATTTCAGCCATCAGAAAGTATATACTAGTATACTAGTATTCGTCAATATTGTAAATCTATTTATCTATTGAGTGAAAGACAGATAGTTGGCTCTTTTATCAACTTAAACTCTTGACAGCAACTATTCCCTTTGGAGAATTCTTTGGGGTAAATTTTATGCCGAAGAGCTATATTTTGATCGTCAATGAAATAGTTTATTGTATATCTAAAATAAATTTTAAATTAAAATTGAAGACTTTTAAGATATGGATCAATAGTTTTATTCAAAATAATCAATTACCTCTGAGGTTCCTCAGTGAGTCTGATAGAGGTTGATGTGTTGCGTCTGTTCTCTTCAGTAGCAGAGTTTCCTCTGATCTGGTATATCCTAAGCAGTTTGTGTGACCGTGTCTACAGACGATTTTGTGACCGAAGGTTAGGCGTGGAATTGGTTTAGATTCAGAGGCCGCTTTCTGAATTGTTCTACTTATCTGAAGCAAGCTCTGCATTAAAATTTCATCCTGGTTTCTTATACTGGCCTGAAATAGAAAAGGAAAATGAAGCTGTGCATAAATTACAATGTGAAATTGAAAAAGATTGAAAAATATATATATATTTTAAAAATCACAAAACGAACTTAATTTATCATAACTCACCAATTCGTTTTTGATGGAATCAACTTCAATGAAATTCTTCACTTCAAAATCCATCTTGTACCTTTTATTTTACAGACGTTTTTAATATTTGTGGACGTTGATGTTAGTTTTTATAACAAATTGGATGAACGCCCGAGCGCGAACGAAAAATACAATAACAAAACATCAAATGAAATTATTGTACTGCAGTACTGTTGGTCTGATATTGTCTGATCTCCTACAAAGGATATCAAGTTAAGACGACCATTGTGTGGCAGGTTTAGGAATGTTTAATGTAAGAGAAAGGTGTTTGTTCAGTGGGGTATAGACCTCATGGCCGTACACTATTTTGTATCTATCGGTATTTAATATTTATGATTATATTATTTTTTTAATGCTAGAGAACTCTTAATTGTAGATAAGTATGCGTTTTAAAACAGCCTCCATAATTCGTAAAAAAAGAAGAGTTTTCATATGCATTTTCATTGTACTTTTTACGTAAATCTTCCAGATAACTCTTTTCATTTGAATTATGGTGTTTATGAAATGGGTAAAAGAAGTTGAACTCTTTAATCTATCAAATATGACATACATATAGAACAACAAGTAAATTTCAGATATAATTTTAAAAACTAATGGAATCGTCATGAAACTTTCCTAGATAAATTCATTCACCAAGCTGTTACATCACTCATTTATCAATAACTTTCCTTTACTTTTTCGTATTTATTTTTTCTTTTAATTTGCTATTTTGTTCTCGCTCACTTTCTTCATAAATTATTTATTCCAAAAAGTTTGATTTTTTTTCAAAAGACTGATGAGGATTGTTTTTTCTATAAGTTAAGATGACACAAGCTTTATCAAAAATCTTGAAAACAGCATATTTATTAATGTTTATTTAAGTGGAAGGAATAAGCTTACTCAGATAAATTTATCATTATTCTTTTATTCAAAGTCTCTCAAAAATTGGACTAAAAATGATAAACTTGTATAGATTTATAAGGATGGTTGCAAAAAGACAACAGTTTGAACATCGTAGGAAATATTTAATATTTCTGAAATTGAAACTTTTTATTAGCAGTGTGTACAAAAAAGGCCCAAAATATTTAAAAATCTATAGGGTATCCCTTTTTCTGTTGTTATATTTTCTATTCCTTAAATCATTTTTATTTAAAATGTTTTTGAATGCATTTAAAAACAAGTTTTATTGCAATACCCTGAAACAGGGTCTGGCATGATTTTTGGAATACTAGCTATAGATCCATTTGTCTTAAATGCATAGCGTAACCTTTTTAAAAACAAAAATAAGTTCATCGAGTTAATTTGTCAGATGTTATTTAAGGATGTTTAATTGTACGTATATTAATATTACCGACAGGTGCAATGTCTTGGTCATAAACAGCTGGTCCTGACAAATGATTTATATTGTTAAAGCTTGTCCATTTAATTCGAAAAATTAATTCATGAAATCAAATTACAAAAATATAGGTCTAAAAAGATAAAGTTTGCTTGTTTTGCTTAAACATTGATGAAAATGATATAGGACTTATCTGAAATATATAGTCAATCAACGATTTGCTGATTCATCTTAAATTTGAAGTTGTATGGATTTAAATGTGAATGAATTACTAAAGCTGTATATAATGAGAAAAAAAATTTCTTATCATTGAATGACTTTAAATTTTTGATAATTCTTCTCTTTGATTGTATCAAATCAGTATTTGTAGAAGATATTGTTTGATATTTAGTTATGGCGTATTGAATTTAAGAGATCAGGGGTACGGTGACTTAGGACTGCCTGTACCAACCGACCTCAAAGTGGGGAATAGTCTACTTAAGATTGAACAGAGAGAATTACCATTTAACATCTGATAGAAATCAATATTCCTTTTCTGTAATATTTTTTTTTTAAATCTGTCTCTTCTTTTAAATGAAAGAGAAATCTTTTTTTTTTCTTAATTTAAAGGTTTAAAAGGAACCTTGTATAATTCATGACATGCAGGTAATCCTAATCAGTAATAATTAATCTTGCAAACTAAAGAATGACGCCTTTTGATTAATTTATGTTTATCTATCTTGCATCTGCTTACTGCTTGATCTTATACAATTCTAGTGTTGGTTTTTCCTCTTCAGAGAAGTAACAGCTTTCTAAAACATCCACAAAAAAGCGAAAGCATACCTACATCTTTCAGAACAGTAGTGTTTGGGTATTATATAGTGGTGTTGCTTAAATTATAATGATAGAAATATCAAAATTAATTTTATGATATTTTAGTTGGCTTATTCTCTTTAGTTTCAGAAATTAAATTTAAATTTCACCTACTTTTTTATACAACAAATCAATATTTCTTCATTCCTTTATATTACATAAATGGATAATTACATAATTACTTAAGACAAGTCCGTACACTCGTCATTTCTCATTCACATCAAACCGAGTGAGAGTTTGATTTGGTTAAAGATTACGTTTTAGTTCCTGTTTTCGTCATTTCTTGTTCACATCAATCGAGAGAGGTTGGGATTTGATTAACCGGAGAAGATTCGGTCGTTTCATCCACATGTCACCACCTTTAGTGGGACGTATAGGAAATCTATAGGTGATGGTGACGTATAGTAAAATTAACTTCACTGTATAAATCGCTGTGTGTGGCTTCCTTGGTGAGGCTGTTACTTACAAAGTAGAAAATCAATTTAAAAAAAAGACGTCAATTTCAAACTTTATACAATTATGTCTTATCAATTTTACTATCAATGTTAAGGACAATTGCGGAAATTGATTAGTGTTTAAATAAAAAAGAAGAGAATTAAGGACGCAATAATATAAAAATGTTATGTAAAGAAAATTAAAGTTGTCATTAAATGTGTCGGTTATCAATAAAAGAAAGGGAATGAGTTCAGTTGCATTAAGATTATTACGATATTTATTATCTTCGATCTTCGAGACAGAAATAAGTATAATAGTAAAACGATTTAAGAAAAACAAAGATATCAAGGTATAAAAAGAAACAATGAGATGGGTAATAACATTCGCACCTGTTGAACTCTCACCTAATAGGATAAAATGTGTGCCCGAATAAAGGGAATACTTAGGGGGTTATGATTCACGAACTGTTCTTGTAAAATATGGACAGCGCAACAACAAGGCTTCAGAAAGATCCTTAGTTGCTGATTTCTGATATTCAATGTATTATGGAAATCAGCTAATTTGGGATGGACGACAATGACTGTTTGTACATTGTGTTGTAAAATAGAGCTGACATCTGCTGTTCTTTTGACCTTCAATGAAGATTTAAAAACAATTTTAAGTGTATCATTCTGGACTGGACAAACTTTCATTTTTAAGTCTGATAAAGCTTTGTCTTGAACTCAATCGTCGTAAACTTCCCTATTCTCTTGATGAGGAGAGATCCTGATAATTCAGAGAATTTCCCCTTTAGTAGATATCAGGATGTGTATATTATCAAAGGTATAATGTCTGTGTTCCCCAGAAACTGCCTCGTTAATGTTACTTTTTATTAAATAAGACCTGGATATTTCACTGTCTGTCATAGCTACAGCAGAATTTATTGATAATCCCTGCATTAAAAAACCTTTTACGTCGACAAAGCGTACTAAGTAATGAGACATAGCAAACATTTAGATTTTAAAGGATTTTATTTTAAACTCATAACAAGAAAGGTAAATTTCAACAAATGTAAAGTATTAAAAAATGAATAAATATAAGCACCATCATCTAAAATGCAAATATATATAGTTGTTATTAATTATATACGTTGGACTTTAAAAATCAAATGGAAATATGTGCGTCATAATCCATTAAGAAGACAAACTCGTCACTTCTGGAATACAAATTAAAATGGATGCAAATGAGTCTTGCATAGCTACATAAACACTATCCTGTAACAGTCCTTTCTTGCTTCGAATAGAAACCCCTTTTTATATCAATGGTTTCAGTAGACTTTTCATGCAATGGCAGTGATGTGCAATATACTCTTGGGAAAAACGTTTAAAAATATAAAATAACCGCAAAATATATCATGCACCACTAGGGAAGGCAGTGTTTGTAAATCCATAGGACACCCCAGAATGTCTTTTGTCGATCACTGTCATGAGCCTGTTGAGTAGGAGCTATTTATAGACTCTTGTGAGTACTTCCACAGCTTGATGTTCTTCATGAGAATCCCGTGATATTTCTTCTCGTCTACGTCGTCCTCTTCCGGGAGAGGCCTCATGTAGGACAGGTGACAGCTTCTGCTCACTTCCGGCGACAAAGAGGTAGAGGACCCAGACAGAGATTCCAGATCACTCTCAGACTCAAAGGGTGACCCGCTCAATTCCTCCAGAGAATCTAAAAAAAACATTAACATAAATATAAACTCTCAGACTCATAGGGCGACCCATTCAATTCCTCCAGAGAATCTAAACGAAAATTTCAACATGAGCATACACTTATTACTTCAAGAGCATCCTACATTGAAAATATGCCCACTGTAATTGTTCATCTTAATAAGAATATCTTATGACTAGCATCACAATTGACATTTCATGTATTGATGTTACTCACCATCAAAGCCGTGGTCAAAGGCTTCACTCCTCCTTAGTTCCCCCACTAGAGGGGCACTTCTGTGTCTGACCAGGGGGTTCTTTAGGTTACAGACAATGTCAGTGCTTCTCTTACTGTGGACTCTGTCCAGGTTAGGGCGCTTCATGGAACCAAAGCTCGCACTCCTCATGACCGGGTTCCTGTCTCTCTTGTTCGTTATGTTGCTGATGGCGGTGTTTATAGAAATCAACTGTCTCATCAGTTTTACGTCTTGACTCCGCATCTCCATCTACAATAATTAAAAAATAACTTTCAAGTATTGCCTTAGATAAATAATTTACACTTAAATTAGATAGAAATTATACAGCGAAAACTTACCAAATCAGATTTAAGCATGGACAATGCTTGTGTTATTCTGTCTATTGAGGATTTTCGTTCCATTTTAATTTTGTTCAGAGATATTAAGGTATTGTAAAAACTAGCCGGTTTAATACATCAATGTGATTATGATCCTGTGAGAAGATTTATAAAGGTATTGTCACTGGCTTCCTGATTGACAGGTGTAAGTTACCTGTTATCTGAATCACGTGACTGCTGTCTGCCTACAGCAGTGACACGCACCACAACACAGAAATTTACATAATGAACGTCATTTTAAAAAAATCAAAATAAACAGGCTGTTTTAAGTGAACAAACACATGGCTATATTCACGATCAGATTCTCGATTTGCTTAAGCTCTGAAAACTTATAACGGTAGACAGAGGTTTCAAAAATGCTCCAGTTATTGCAAATGTTCATTTCAGGCCATTTGCGACCTTCGAATGTTTAAATAAGATTTAAAAAGTATGTGCTATGTTAATTTTTAGCTGATGTTTGACACAATACTGTTTTGCTTCTAGATGTAATCTTTGAAAGAGAACCGTTCTCTGTTTTGAAATAAAACAAAGAGAAATGAATGAATAAAAAGATATTGATAAATACATAGATTAATAAATAAATAAATATCATTAAAGATTAAATTAAAGGAAGCAAAAGTACAAGCTGTTCAATAAATCCTGTGATTTTGAATTGTGAAATTACGATTTTATATTGTTTAATATTTAGAATTTATTTATCTAGAGATCAAATCACTCTTTTTTTATACGTATAGAATAATGAGTATGCATTGAAATAATAGAATAAAAGAATAACAATCAAACCTTGACCTTCAATTTAATCAATTAACTTAAATGCAAATACAATAAAAACCACATGTAAACATGACAGGTAAGACCACAAATTAATTAACATTAAAATGATTTAAGTAAATTTATGAATGAAAACATGACGCATCAATGTAGGTTTTCAAAAATACTAATTTAGATAACTGAATCTCTTATTAATTTACGTTTACTCATGTCTTGCTCATCCATAAAAAGAACGTACGGAAAACAATGACCAATTTGGGATAAGGACAATACACTGATTCTAAAACGAAATGAATGAAAGCATTAGCATAATTAAGTCCTTTAATTGATATTACAATTAGAAACTATTATTTTTTTATTAATTTATCAATACATATGTATTATCACATTTTTCATACAGTATATACAGAAAAATCAGATGCTGTGGTATGACGCTTCTATATATACGTGAACATGATCAAATACAGCGCCCGTATTATAGAACAGAATTGCGTTGTATGGCGATTCTATACGCGATAAATATTAAAGATGGATGAATCACATTTTTTTTCATTTCTTAACTTGAAAGCTAAATGCGAAACATTCGTTTCATATATGAAATATCGTAAAAAATACAAATCCAGAGATAACCTGCATGTATATTTACAAAATGTTAAAATATAGGAAAAACGAGTAAAAATAAATACCAATTCATGTATCAAGATTCCATAAGACATTTAAATTCATTAATTTTTAGTTTTGGCCACATGGACTTCTGAGGTATAAAAAATACATATATAATTATAATAATGTTTCAACCAGTGCAATATCGGAATTTGTATGTCAAGCAATATGTTATAAATTGATTAAATCATATGCGAATCAGAAATCTGTCACGTGCCACTCAGGTAGACTATATCATTAGCATACGGGCTTCACATTTGCCTGGTGTCTAATAATAGCCCTATATTTCAACTCCTCGGTAGTATAGTGGTAAGTATCCCCGCCTGTCACGCGGGAGACCGGGGTTCGATTCCCCGCCGGGGAGGAGTGTATTTTTCTTACCCCCCCCCATTTTTTCAATTTACAAATTGTACTTAAATGTAATATTTTCATTTTTTTTTTAATGACACACTCTTCACTTCTTTTTTTTTTTCAGATTTGTTTTTTTTTATGTAGTAAGACTGACCCACCATTTGACATATACTAATATAAATTGTGATTTCACTTTATGCCATAATTTTTTAAATAAACCCAAGTATTTTAAACATTGAATTAGACCAAGAAAATCTATCTGATGTCATTTGTTATTATCTATAGGTACATATAGGTGAATTTACATAGACATTTCTGGGAGCTTAGTGACTTCTCTATCTAAGAATTACGGTTCCTCGAAATCATTGGACTTTCCTTGTTTGTACCTTATGACCTTATCTGATGTTTTCTTCCTGTATGGGGCAAATATACCCCGAGGTGTGGCATTTAAATCTCCGACGTCATATCAAGAGAAAACTTAAGCACTTGGGCAAAAGAAATGATAAGGAACCATTTCTGTTGAAACATTTTAGTTGTTATACACTGACAGGCAGTTAATTTTGTTCAAAGAACGAGATTCTTCAACATGTTGTAATTGTCAATTTCAAATATACCGAAAATTAAACTGCATTTTCAATTTTTTTGAAGTATTTAAAAGCAGAGATTTTTTACCGGGTGGTAAATTCCAGGTGAGGGAGGGGCTTATTTTGTACAGGTGTGAATGCCTTGGGGGTTAGCAGTCTACCTGTGGTCATCTGTCTCCTAATCACTATACACAGGAAGTGATTTAATACACAGTGAAATACCCCAGATGTCAAACTTTGAGACAATTTAAAATTAGAAGTGAAAAGTTGTAAGGAAAGTCTAAATAATCTAATAGTATATTGATTTATTTTTGAATATTTGAAAACACCCCTACCCATTAAAAAAATATTATGATATCATAAATTCAAATATTAAAACAAAGATTATTTTAGATGTCAGTGTATGTGTTAATTAAAAAACCGCCAGTAACAACCAAATTAGAATTAATTCAATTATCCCCAGGGCAGGGTCCGATATATTAAAAAAGAAAGTCGAGTTAACTACATTTCATAAAAAAAAATTTAAGGTTTATCCATGTTATGGTAATCTTAATAAGGCTTTGTCACAATGAAATTACTTGTAAATTAAATTCTTCTGAATGGAATCTGAATAACAAAGGAAAATATAAACAACCCATGATTAGAATTTACATTTATGAATATTTTCCAAATTTAATTAATTCACACAGTGCTGCTCTAAACTTAATCAATAACATTTCCGCTTTAGCATTAATTTACCGTTTAGCATATTAAAATCAAAATCAAAATTTCATTTAGAAAAAAAAGTTTTTATATTTTTTGAAAAATGTATATTATATTATAATCTTTTTAAATACTAAAGGTATTTTTAATTCATATATCATCAAGCAAAAATTGTTCATGGTATTGCAGTTTTTCTATACCATGTTCGGTAAACATCAAAGGATCAAAAGTTAATTTGAAGCTCCCTACAAGTCCCTTACAAGGTGTAAAGGGTATACACAGGGACCAGTAAGTAAATGTCAATCAAGTTCCAGCATCCAATGATGGACCTTCATGCTCTTGATTGACAGGGCTACCCAGACCAGGTATTTTTGAAGGTGGTGCTAAAAATCTCTGCCTTTAAGGGATGTAGCGGGATCCAGGAAATGTTCTACCAAGCTTCAATTTTTACTCCTCACGAAAATAAGAACCTCAAAGGAAATTTGCTACTGGAAGTAGGAGTAGTGGTACTCACATGTTGGAACTTAAAAACTCCTAAGATAGTTTTAAAAAAATGAAATAAGTAAACTTTTAAAATGAACCAAATCAGACAAGACGACTTATTCAAATTTTATATAAGAAGGATATGGAGATAACGAACAGTATTCAACATCAAAGACCATAAAACAATACAAAATTAAAGCAGAGCAAACACGGACCTCCGAAACATCAGAGGTGGGATCAGGTGCCAGGGTGGAGTGAGCATCCCCTGCTGACACCCGTCTTGTGTTCCTTGTTATGATCAGGAAATAATGGAAAAATCCGTGGTCAATTCAATGTATAAATAATGGACTAACAATTTGTATGAAAAACGCCAGTCAGCATTTGACTTAGTGATAAACTGTATTTGCTGACAAGGTAATTGTATCGACCATAGAACTTACGAAATAATGACTTTAAAGGAGATGCTGATATTCTTGTTTCATCAACTTGCTTGTCAATAATTTACCCCGTTTTAGAAATATGTTCATACGTGGAGCTCTTGCGTATCGAATCAACTGAGATATATACATTTTGTATGCAGGTGATGAAGGTATATTGCTGCATAAGTAAGTGAAGTTGACAATAGAAAAGTTAAAGTCATCACGTTTATCATATAGCTTGGTTGTTAAATTACCATTAACGTTTTTTTTCAAGTAAAATATCCAAGTATGAAACAGATGTGTCAGACTCTGTGGTATCTTTTATCTCAAGCTCTCCAGTATATGTCGTATCGACGTAGGAATGGAAATTACCATTGTTAATTGATAATACGTCGTCGATATATCTAAATTCGAATTGAAGACCACAGCAAGTGTTTTCTTCTTTTCATGCATAAGATTTTGCAAAAATTCTGCTTCATATAAATACAAAAACAGGTCTGCTAATAACGGAGCGCAATTGGTACCCAAGGGAATTCCAATAGATTGTTGGAAGACCTGGTCTCCAAAAACCACATAGATATTGTCAACCAGAAACCCAAGCATCTTTTTGATGTCAACTTTAGAGTACTTGTGTGTGCAATCAGAATGTGTTTTAACAAAATAATTTTGCAAATGACCAGTGATCAGGTAAGTCAGTTTACGAGTTCCATTTTTATTGAAAAAGCAGCTGTCAATGATATGAAAAAGCCTAAACTAACTAATACTAACTAATACAACTAATATGCTCGATCAATTGAATAGAGAACTTTATTTGTATTATATATAAAGTCAATAGAAATTGTGCATGACGTATAGACAGTCTTATGATTAGACAGTCAGAAGATTTTCTATATTTTGGCTTAAGTTTTCAGAAGTAGATATTACAAATTTGTTGAAAAAAGAATAAGATGGATTACACGGTCAATATGTACTGGTTCCTGCTGAAAAGACAGGTAACAGCATTGTCTTTGTTTGTAAGGCTCATTTTAAGTTTTATCTTAGAGGAACTGGAATTTAATTTTACTAGTGGTATTCCCACTTATACGCCCTTTCTAGGGACAAAATTCTTCAAAATCATGTCAAATTTGAATATTTTTGATATTCCTAACA